ATTGATTCATTGATTCATTGATTCATTGATTCATTGATTGATTGATTCATTTATTCATTCATTCATTCATTCATTCATTCATTCATTCATTCATTCATTCATTCATTCATTCATTCATTCATTCATTCATTCATTCATTCATTCATTCATTCATTCATTCATTCATTCATTCATTCATTCATTCATTCATTCATTCATTCATTCATTCATTCATTCATTCATTCATTCATTCATTCATTCATTCATTCATTCATTCATTCATTCATTCATTCATTCATTCATTCATTCATTCATTCATTCATTCATTCATTCATTCATTCATTCATTCATTCATTCATTCATTCATTCATTCATTCATTCATTCATTCATTCATTCATTCATTCATTCATTCATTCATTCATTCATTCATTCATTCATTCATTCATTCATTCATTCATTCATTCATTCATTCATTCATTCATTCATTCATTCATTCATTCATTCATTCATTCATTCATTCATTCATTCATTCATTCATTCATTCATTCATTCATTCATTCATTCATTCATTCATTCATTCATTCATTCATTCATTCATTCATTCATTCATTCATTCATTCATTCATTCATTCATTCATTCATTCATTCATTCATTCATTCATTCATTCATTCATTCATTCATTCATTCATTCATTCATTCATTCATTCATTCATTCATTCATTCATTCATTCATTCATTCATTCATTCATTCATTCATTCATTCATTCATTCATTCATTCATTCATTCATTCATTCATTCATTCATTCATTCATTCATTCATTCATTCATTCATTCATTCATTCATTCATTTATTTATTTATTTATTTATTTATTTATTTATTTATTTATTTATTTATTTATTTATTTATTTATTTATTTATTTATTTATTTATTTATTTATTTATTTATTTATTTATTTATTTATTTATTTATTTATTTATTTATTTATTTATTTATTTATTTATTTATTTATTTATTTATTTATTTATTTATTTATTTATTTATTTATTTATTTATTTATTTATTTATTTATTTATTTATTTATTTATTTATTTATTTATTTATTTATTTATTTATTTATTTATTTATTTATTTATTTATTTATTTATTTATTTATTTATTTATTTATTTATTTATTTATTTATTTATTTATTTATTTATTTATTTATTTATTTATTTATTTATTTATTTATTTATTTATTTATTTATTTATTTATTTATTTATTTATTTATTTATTTATTTATTTATTTATTTATTTATTTATTTATTTATTTATTTATTTATTTATTTATTTATTTATTTATTTATTTATTTATTTATTTATTATATATATATATATATATATATATATATATATATATATATATATATATATATATATATATATATTATATATATATATATATATATATATATGTATATGTATATATATATATATATATATATATATATATATATATATATATATATATATATATATATATATATATATATATATATATATATATATATATATATATATATATATATATATAAATATATATAAGTTTCTCCTAATATATAAAAGCCCATGTGCGCACTTTTCTCTCTCTGTCGGCAAAATATTTTCGCAGGATATCACATCATAATCTTCAGCGATATATGGAGAACCTGATACGGACTTTTGTACAAAATAATATGGAAGATGTTTTACATGTATAAACAAAATTTTATTTAAAGAAGAAAAATAAAAAATTAAGGCACATTCGAATGTAGAAAAACAGTTTTTTATGGAACCCGAAAAGTTTTTATAGTTGTGATAATAACGCCGAAATCGATGACGTCACATGTCATATGTTTGAAGTACGGAAAGTACACACAACCAATTGCGTCATCTTCAAATTTTAGAATACGAAGAAATGAACCATTTCATTAAAATTTGATTTAGATCTATAGATTTATTATCGAGACGAAATTTATGAAATTTATACAATTTCCTTGGCCAAACTAATACAAATTACTTAATTACAAAAAACAACATAAATACCATTGAAAAGCTAGGTTTTTAACGGAGTCAGTTAAGTCTTTGAATCAATGTGTACATTTAATATGGTGCTGTGTTGACTAATTATGTATATAATTTGGTTTTATTTTTTGTAACAAGTATTATTAGCCTATGTTATTTTAAATGTGTCGGACTTTAAGCTATTTAGTTATTTCTTTGCTTTATCCCTAATATCATTAAACCTGTAGTAAAGCACATTGCGTTTTGACAAATAACTATTTTACAAAATATTTCTCTAAAAATGTATAATATTAAAAATATATAGACCTATAATTCACGTGTAACGGGTACCGACGGCTAGTATATATATAAATGGCTAATATCTTTTCTAACCGCTCTTCCATCTTCCTCCCTTGTGTGTTAAGTGATATTGGTAATAACAAGTGGAAACTACACAGACCACTATTCAACTGAAATCAAAACACAAGGGCAAGTAGTCATATATTCTAGTATGATGCATTCAATCAGACTTACCTACCTAATGCAAAAACTAGAGTCGTTTAGTCGTTAAAGCTTATGGTTGCTAAACCGAAAAGTCTTCAAGGAGATAGAACTCCATATTAAACAACTGCTACCTTGTAGTTTGTTTTTGCTATGGAAGCAAATCCAAAAAGAAAGCCAGGCTCAAATCGGAGTCTGTTGTCACAATGGCGAATAATCAGTTGACACGTATAGTTAAAATTAAGAACGAAGAAAAGGATGAAGAGACGTACCTACTTTTACCCATACTGTACACTTACCTAATGTATCCATATGACACGCTTACCTACTGTATCTATATGACACACTTACCTACTGTATCTATATAACACACTTACCTAGAGTATCCATATTACAAACCTTCTGTATCCGTACGACACACAAACTGTATCCATATGACACACTTACCTACTGTATCCATATGACACACTTACCAACTGTATCCATATGACACACTTACCTACTGTATCCATATGACACACTTACCTACTGTATCCATATGACACACTTACCTACTGTATCCATATGACACACTTACCTAATGTATCCATATGACACACCTACTGTATCCATATGACACACCTACTTACTGTATCCATATGACACACCTACTGTATCCATATGACACACTTACCTACTGTATCCATATGACACATTTACCTACTGTATCCATATGACACACTTACCTACTGTATCCATATGGCACATCTACTGTATCCATATGACACACTTACCTACTGTATCCATATGACACACTTACCTACTGTATCCATATGGCACATCTACTGTATCCATATGACACACTTACCAACTGTATCCGTACGACACACCAACTATATTCATATGACACACCAACTGTATCCATATGACACAACTACCTACTGTATCAATATGACAGACCTACCTAATGTAACAATATGACCAGTGTTTCTTCCAGACTTTTTTCTCCGGGGGGGGGGGGTGGGGGGGGGGGCACTTGAAATTTCGGGGGGAGGGGGGCGGTAGACTTTCTTCGGGGGGGGGGGGGCGGACACTGTTAAAATTATATATTTTCTAGAGATGCCTGGAAGAAACTCTGCATATGACACATTTACTTACTGTATCCATATGACACACTTACCTACTGTATCCACATGACACACATACGTACTGCACCCAAAATACACATTTGACTCTTGCACCTATTAATACACTTACATGTCTATTGTACCAATTAGACACAGTGACCAATATATCAATTACACATACTTGCCTACTGCACTCATATAAGTTCCGTATAAATGCTTGATTTAATAATTTAATCTTATAAGTAAATCAATGACTAAAAAACGAAAAGAATCAACTCTAGTTCAGAGGACGAAACAATTTTATTGGATTTAATTCAACTCATCCAAGTAGCCTTTTAAAGCTATCTTAAGGGGGCAGTATCAACTAGACTAAGCGAAAGAAACAAACAAAATCGCCAAAAACAAATTATCAGCCATATAAAGCTGTCAACATTTTACTGCAGTAATTATAATTTACAAGCTATAATGCAGCATAAAATTTTAGGCGTATGGATATATCAAAATAATTCCAAAAAATTTAACCAATATTTTATATATAGGCTATATTTGTAACTCATTTGTAAACAACTTTTTCAACAATAAGCCAATTCCCGCAGCCAGAACTACAACAATACCACTATTTTGGATAAGCTTAGTGGCTTATTTCTGGAATTATACATTTGATTATTGTTTGTTCTCAATGAAAAAAAGTAGGCTACAAGTGAGAAAGAAATATTACTATTGTAAATCTGTATCAGTCCTCACAAGCCGATGATGAAAACTGTAATACTAAAGCGAACACACAACTGACGCTATAAATTACGTGTCTGAGGCATAAAAAGAGAAAAAAAGAAAAAAGGAAAAAAAAAATTGTTCTCAATAATCTACAGATTAAACAAGATAATTAATATATCGATTTCCAATAGTATTATCGATAGTTGGAACTACAACTATGTTCTAATACAATTTTAATATTGTACAAAATTTTAAATTTTATTGCGCATTATCTTATTCTGGTCAGATTTGAAAAAAAATTTTTTAATATAATGCAATTATTTTAGATCCGGCTATAGATAATAACGTTATACCGCTTTTTACCAATAAGCAGAAAAATCTGTTTGAATTATAGAAAATTCTAAATTTAAAACCTAAATATTTAACATTTTTTGGGTCCAATAATTTTTTTTACATTTTTTTGGCATCATACATAGGCCCTCATTTTTTGCTGTTTTATAGCTTTTTAACTATAATCACCATGGTAAAAAGTGTATGGGTGTGTGTAAACATTTTTTTTTTCGAATTTTCCCGTAAATTTTTCGTTGTCAGGGTGATACTTCCCTCTTAAGTTTAGTACACGTTCTAATCCTGACACGCGGTTCGTGATTAATCACAGTATTTTTTTTATTCCGGTCCCAATTTGCCACGTGTACAATCACATTTTTAATCCAGTCACGTGGTTTATACTTCTTTACAATTTGTTATTCCGGCCCCCTTTCCGCCCTTTGCACAGTCACATCTTTGTTTTTTATTATGAGGCCAAAACGTAATGAAGTTTTTTTCACCGACTTCGTGGCACGTATCGCCGATGCCAATGCATCCTGCAAGTAGTTAAAACATTTTTAGAAGCTGTTTTATGTGAAGAACATAGCAAAGATATATATATATATATATATATATATATATATATATATATATATATATATATATATATATATATATATATATATATATATATTTAATGAATTTAATATCTAAGCCATAACTTATTATATGTTATGTACATAAAGTGTTTATTATATGTTGTGAACAGAAAGTGTTTAGTATATATGGTGTGTACAGAAAGTGTTTATTATTTGTTAAGTACAGAAAGTGTTTTTATATGTTATGTAGAGAAAGTGTTTTTATATGTTATGTAGAGAAAGTGTTTTTATATGTTATGTACAGAAAGTGTTTATTATTTGTTATGTACAGAAAGTGTTTATTATTTGTTATGTACAGAAAGTGTTTATTATATGTTATGTACATAAAGTGTTTATGATATGTTATGTACAGAAAGTGTGTAACGATTAGGTCATAGCTCTGACGAAATTAACGTTAAATGTGTTTAGTGTATGTGCCTGTTATGATTACTTTTAAAAATTAGCTTGTTAAATTAGACATATCTTATCCTAAATTAAGTTAACAATGTTCAACCTTTGATTATCTGAACAATGTTTTGAACGTAATTCAGTCCAATAAAAGAAATTTCTAAAGAGTCTATGAAGCTCATTTGTAGTAGCGATATGTTAGTAAACACACACATAGTTAATTACCGAGCTAACATATTCCACTTTCTATAAAACAGATAATTAAGAACGGCTTCAACCTTACAGGTGCAGAGGATATAGGAATTGCCATTTTAAGTTTTTTACAAAAAAGTTGTTAGTAAAACATAATATATTCAATCTGTGTTACTGCTATGTTCGAGTTGGGTATTACCCCTCTTCATACCACTTCCGTCAATTTGGTTTGCTAAAGAATATATGGGAATATATGGGAATCAAGACTGATTAGCTTAACTATCAAAGTACGTCTATCAAAAAGCAATGTGCTCAGGGTCCTATAGTATGGCTCAGAATTTTGGAAAATTGCAAATAGAACTAGAAGACAAATATTGAGAATCTTCCGATAAATATGAACCAAGCGCAGGCTTTGTTTACATTTAAATAATTAAGATTTAGAAAACAAGGTCACGCGACTAAAAATATAGTATTGGTAAAACATTGATGAAACCCTTTTTATATATTTCGTCAGATTTTTTTTTTTTTTTTTTTTGGTATTGCTACACCTTTTATCTGATCGCCATGAAACTTTGGGAAGTTGTTGAGAATAGCGCTAAGGCGCCTACGTTAGTTTTAAACAGTGCGATAGACCATGAGTAAGATGGGGCGTTTAGCCGTTCACTAAATAGATACAGACGCAATTCGCCGGCGCCCGACAGGTTGCAATTTGGTGCCCCGGGCTATCCCGGTAGAGCTATGCCGCATACATTTTTTTAACAATTGTAATAAAATATGGATAAGAAATAGTATTATAGTCGTTCACTAAACTGAATCATGCGCGTCAGACCGCGCCCTGATAGGGCACAATTTGTCCCGGGCAATCCTTTTTTTGACACCTCCTTTACGCGCGGGGACGGACACGCTAGTAATTACTAAACTAAACATCATTTTTACATCACATGATTGTATCTAAATAATTTCTAATATATAACGCTCAAACGGATTCTGTTTCTCTGTATGTATGTGGCGGACAGGTGGACGGACCCGTGCAACTTATACATAAAGTAATAAACTCAACTTTATCGCCATAGCGTAATTTTCTTAAAGTGTTTATTATCTCAATTAGTGATTTTAAAACATTAATATTGAAGGTTTTGTAAAACAAATTTCATTTTCCAAAGTTATCATTTTAATTAACGTCATGTGAATCGTATCACAAAAAAAAATTAACATTGTACAACTAATCTCCCTTTGTTCCTTTAGTACCAATTACGTTCATGAAAAGATGGGGTATTATAATCGTTTACTAAGTTGAATCAGGTGGTTCAACCGGCGCCACGGCAGGGCGCTATTTGGAGCACTATGCTTTATGTTTGTATTTAAGTTTGTGTTTGTGATCTGCGTTATTGTTTGCGTTTTTGCTTGCATTTGTGTTTGCGTTTATGTTTGCGTTGGTTTTTGTGTGTTTTTTGTGTTTTCTTTTTTAATTGCGTTAGTGTTTTCATTTTTGTTTGTGGTTGAAGGTATGTTTGTGTTTATGTTTGCGTTTAATTTTGCGTTTGTGTTTGGGTTTATTTTTTCGTTTGTGTTTGTGTTTGCGTGTGTGTTTGCTTTTGTGTTTGCGTGTATTTTTGCGTTTTTGTTTGTGTTTTTGTTTGCGTGTGTGTTTGCTTTTGTGTTTGCGTGTATTTTTGCGTTTTTGTTTGTGTTTTTGTTTGCGTGTGTGTGTATTTGTGTTAGAATCTGCGTTTGTTTTTTTGGGTTTGCGTTTTTGTTTGTGTTTGTTTTTGTGTTTTGGTTGTGGTCGTTAGTGGTTAGCGGTAATTTAAAATGTAATATATTTCCTAAAGCCGGGCAATTCCGGGTATATGATGCTCTATAAACACACAAGTCATGGTCTTTTACTGATATGTTTTTCACAGAGGCCAGTGCCTCACGTCTCTCACACAATAAAAATAAGTTCTTTATGCGTCTAATTTTTAATTGCGAAATCCTACGGTTTTGTACCTTCGCAACATGTCAGTTGACCTAAAATCCATATACGCAAATTGTTTAAATATGTTAAAATCAGCGATTTATTTTAAATATTAGAAATCCAGATTTTTTTTTCACCAATAAAATCAGTTACCAACTTCTCATTAATCACCTTCTCTGTACCGTTAAGTTATATCTTCTCTTTAATTAATCAAAATCACTGTACTGTAAGCTCACAACTTACTATGTCTTATGGGTGTGACTTTTCCGTTATAACATGTGTAAACACTACATGGAATACCCTTAGGGTTTTCAAATGTTTCGCCATTAACATAAAAACGATCGTTAACTTTGCAACCCTTTTGAGTGTTTCCTGTAAAAAAAATAATGTACATATGAAATTGAAAACAAAGCATATCATTATCAAAACACATTCTATGGCATCACTATGTACAATTTTTACAATCCAAAACATCTACCGTCATAAGCAGAATAGCGAAAATGTCGAAATAAAAATACTGAAAAACCTACAGCTATCTAGATATATACTCAACACCTGAGGCGTCGCGAGGCGGGGCGGGGGTGCCAACCGCACTGGATGACACCATTTAGCAGTAGCGTAGCGAGGTGGGGGGGGGGGGGGGGGGCGGGGGGGACATACGTCCCCGGGCGCCGACCTTAAGGGGCGCTAAAATGGGTTGGAAAGATAAATTGAAAGGTTTAGGGTGGTGTAATTCGAAAGTTTGAGGGGGGGGGGGTGGTGCAAATGGAAATCTCGAGGGGGGGAGTACAAATCGAAAGTTTGAGGGGGGGATGCAAATCCAAATCTCGAGGGGGGGGTGCATATCGAAATGTTTGTCCCTGGGCGCCGGGAAGGGTCGCTACGCCTCTGCCATTTAGAGGGGGGGGGTGAATTGACGGTAAAACCGTTTAGGCTAGCTCCATTTTATTCTTCCACCACCCTCTACCTGCTATATTACCCCCCCCCCTCTACTGCTACGTACATCCATATATTTCGTCCCACTCACAGGCTCCTCTAGTTGGCTAGATTGTCCACGTGACACCGCCAATTGTAATGCATAAAAGGGGATGCAACAAAAAAAAGCACGCACTCTTCCAGCACTGAGCTCAGCTGGCGGTGTCGCACGCGGCGGTGGGGCCGTCGGCCCGACCTCCACGTGTTCTGGGTTTGGTTTTACTTTAATTCTTATTTTCACTTTACCAGTTTTGATATGCATATTTGATTTCCATTGTAACAAGTAGTTTCAATAAATACCATATATATTATCTCGCTGTTATGTCATGTTACTCAAATACTTTACACTGTTATCCTGTTCGTGGCCATATGACAGTCTACAACTTACCTGACTTACCTGATTTACTTAACTGTCTTAGCACACAGGGCATTTGAATACCTATTTGATCTAAACTATTCCTGCCAGTGACGTAATTCCACGTGGCAGTTGAGTAGACATTTCAGTCACTACTGTAGAACTTTTATCCTGCACGTGTATCAGCCACGGAGCAGTAGATAATAATATTATATTACGAGAAAAATGGCCCGTTGAGGAAGGATACACCGGGCGCTAGGTTGATAGTGCTGTCTATTTTCTCTAAACTAAAACCAACCGCCCCCCCCCCCCACACACACACACCCCAAAACATGTCTACCGTTCCATTCAACAAAATATAATTATATACTTTTTCCAGTGTCCGCCCCCTCCCAGAAAATTCTACCCCCGCACCCGAAAATTTCAAGTACCCCACCCCTCTCCGGGGAGGAGAAAGTCTGAAAGAAACACTGGTCGCATTTGTAGATCATACAAACTAAAGGAAGAACCTGGGCGGGGCTTCGCCCCTACCGGAAGAGATGCATGAAAAAAACTGTGCACGCTAATCACTTCTTAGATTAGAAAAAGTTTCTCTTTCCGGGGAGGAAAAAGTCTGAAAGAAACACTGGTGCTTAGCCACTACCTGAAGAATTGCACGCAAACCACTTTTTAGATTAGACACATTAATTAGACGGTAATTTTATTATAGAGTATCGATGAAGAAATTTCTTTTGAGTTGGGTGGGGGGGGGGAGCTTAGACGTTCTTTCGCGAGGGTGGGGCTTCGCCCCTACCCGAAGAATTTTATGAATGAAACTCTTCACGCAAACCACTTAGATAGGACAAAATTTCCTTTTTATTCAATGTTTACTCGAGAATCAATGACGTCATATTACTGTGTGCACTCTCCGGCTTGATATTATTTTCTACTATATGACGTCATACTTCGTTTTCGTTTCACTGTGAGAGTTTTTAAATTGCTTGTGTTTTCTCTAGAGCGTTCTTGTCAGATAGATACATAGATAGACAGACAGCGAAACTATTAGTATTAATACCAAGCATCATTTTCTTTTACTACAGGCCGTAAACTGCGGGCATTGAGTTGACCCTTAGTCATCAGACCTTGATGAAAGTACGTCTAGTTATACTATACTACGAGTTTATATTCCCGGTAGAGAAGCGGCGCAGACCCTCCTACCCGTTGAATTCATCAATTTTACTGATTATCACTATTATGCGGTACCGTTGTACCGTTAACAGGTGACACCAAGCCAAAAATTTGCTAAATATATAGAAGAAAATGCTTTTAACCAGTTCAGTTAATTAACTATTAGAGTTTAAAAGTCTTATAAGTACACACTGACCATCTCGACAATACATACACACTACACCCATATATATATATATATATATATATATATATATATATATATATATATATATATATATATATATATATATATATATATATATATATATATATATTTATATATATATATATATATATATATATATATATATATATATATATATATATATATATATATATATATATGTATGTATGTATGTGTGTGTGTGTGTGTGTGTAGTGGGTGACACCATGAAGTGCTGCACCGGGTGACACCCGAGCTAGCGACGCCACTGCTCAACACTGCCTAGTTTTATTCTGTAACTGTACAAAAATAAATACCACAGCGATTTATGCCCTCGGTATTTTCAAGTAAGCCTTCACAGGTGCACTCTTGAAACGTATCCTCAGTGATTGGCACGCGGTACTTTTCACCGTGTTTGTGACATTGATTGTTGCTGTCTAGGCATCCTATATGTTGGTAAGACAAGAGTGGGTAATGTTTAATGTTTAATAATTTAAGTTTTAAATGTTTTCTTAGTAATAACAATATTTTTCTTATAAATAGGAAAAGTATTATGAATTGGTCATTACTTTTTCTAAACAAACTTTAGAATGTGTTAAATATAGAAATTGTCAGATGGATAGACCATAAGTCCAGCTAAAAATAATTTAGAATTTGTTTATTGTATATGTATATGTATTTGTATTTATTTTTTTAAATTACACATACATTGTCTTTAATTGTTTTAATGTTAAACAGTTCACAGTTGTAATAGATTGAAATAATTGTGAGGTCAAGGGAACTCACTCTTCTGTATTAGTTATATTTATAATATTGTTATCTTGAGTGATGTCCCTTGTGTACTTCCTTCCGTCCTCTCTGTGTGTTACCATCGTGATGTAGTTAGACCCATTAAATGTGTTATATACAACCACAGGCTTCTGTCGTCAATCTATTATAACTGGCGACGAAGGATAAACATCTACTAGAAAGAGCACCTAATTACGCAAAAAAGAGGTTTGCTAGAGCTTATTAGCTAATTATTTCTAGAATTATGGCGCTGTATGGCCAAATAAAAGAATTTGATGCGAATGATGAAATCATTCAAGATTACCTAGAGAGGTTAAGCTTTTACCTAGAAGCAAACAACGTGACGATAGAAGCCAAAAAGAGAGCTGTTTTGTTAACAGTCATAGGGCCTCAACAATTTAGGCTACTAAAAGACTTATGCGCACCAGCTAGTCTAACTACCAAGAGCTTTAACGAGCTGAGCAAATTGCTAACAGACCACCATGCGCCTACCCCATCAAAGTTTTTATGTAGAGCTAGATTTGACAGTAGGACTCGTCAACCAAACGAGTCAATATCAGAATATGTTGCTGCTTTACGTCATTTAAGTGAATTTTGTGAATTTGGAGAAACGCTGTCTGACAGACTATGTGAAAAGTTTGTGACAGGTGTAAACAGCCCTGATATTCAAAGAAAGTTGCTGCTCGAGTCAGATCTAAAATTGGAAAAAGCAATACAACTTGCAATGTCATTCCAGCAGTCATCAGATGCGGCGAGATCTTTAGCACCTTCAGGGATCCATGCAGTAAACAGCAGGTTAGTCAATAAACATCAACCCCAACAGAGCATTCCAACTTATGCTAAACACCCTGCTCGTTCAAATCCTAGATCTAAATCTAGTAATAATTATCAAAAATGTCATCGATGCAAAGGTCCCCATGCATCTCATCGGTGCAAGTTCAAGTCTGCAACTTGTTATAAGTGCAGTAAGCAAGGTCACATTGCCAAGGCCTGCTTTGCAAAGTCTTCGTCTGTTGCTAAATCTAGCCAGTCAAGACAGTACCGCAACCAAAAGCAGCACTATGTTAACTCTCACCAAGACTACCTAACCCAACCAATGAACCACTCTACCTGTGAAAATGCTCAAATTGATTTGCAGCCGGATTTCAACCTGTTCTCTGTGAAATCAATAAGTCATGCTCCCATCAATGTACAAGTTAATATCAACGGTAAGAGCATCAGCTTCCAACTTGACACTGGAGCATCTCTAACAGTCATAACAAAGAAAGATTTTGACGCTGTCACAGGAGGATCAGTGTCTCTACAGCCATGTCACAAGTGTCTAACAACATACACTGGTGACAATGTTCCGGTAATAGGAGAGTGTATGGTTCATGTAAGTTATAATGGTCAAAGTGTTAAACTTCCTCTTCTTGTGGTTGAAGGAAATGGACCGCCATTACTAGGTAGGAACTGGTTAAGTGATCTTAAGTTAAATTGGGAGAGTATTTGTTCATTGAAGAATGTAAAAGAATCTAGTCTTACTTCACTAGATAAAGTTATATCTGAAAATAAATGTGTTTTTGGTAACTCAGGTTTACTAAATGATAGAACAGTGAAGTTAAGCATTAAAGATACAAATCCAAGATACTGCAAAGCTAGAGTTCCACCTTATGCAATGAGGAATAAAATTGAAAATGAGCTAAGTAGATTGGAATCTAATGGCATTATAAAGAAGGTAGACTATTCCGATTGGGCGACACCCATTGTGCCAGTGTTAAAGAAGGATGGTTCTATAAGAATTTGTGGAGATTATAAAACTACACTGAATAAGCAAATAGAGCTAAATAGGTACCCTATACCTAACATTGAGGAAATCTCTTTGAATTTGGCAGGAGGAGACAAATTCACTGAATTAGACTTTAGTCATGCTTACACTCAACTAGAACTGCATCCAGATTCAAAAGTCTATACGACAATAAACACACATAAAGGACTCTACCAATATGAAAGACTATGTTTTGGCATATCATCCAGCCCTGGAATTTTCCAAGCTGTCATGGACAGTATTTTTAAGGACATTCCAAATGTTTGTGTGTACTTTGACAATGTGTACATAACTGGTAAGAATGACACTGAACATCTTCAAACACTTGATAAAGTATTGAAAATTGTTGGTGAAAAAGGTTTAAAGATAAACAAAGATAAATGTCAATTCATGTTGACAGAAATTAGTTTTCTTGGTTATGTATTAAGCAAGCAAGGCATCAGACCTCAACCTGAGAAAACTAAAGCCATTAAAGAAGCACCCAAACCTGAAAATACCCAACAACTAAGAGCTTTTTTGGGCTTAATAAATTACTATGCAAAGTTCATAGGAAATCTGTCTGGTAAACTATCACCACTGTACAAGCTGCTACAGAAAAATGCAACTTGGCACTGGGGTAAACAACAAGATACTGCTTTTAATATAGCAAAAGAGGCTTTGTCTGCTGACACCTTACTAACTCACTATGACCCAGGGAAAAGACTTATATTAACATGTGATGCTTCACCAGATGGTGTAGGAGCAGTCTTGTCCCACATGGATAAGAAGGGTGACAGACCCATTGCTTTTGCCAGTAGATCTTTGAACCAGGCTGAGAAAAATTATTCTCAGTTAGATAGGGAAGGCTTAGGCATCATTTTTGGTGTTAAGAAATTTCATAAGTTTCTGTTTGGTAGGAAGTTCACCATCTTTACAGATCATAAACCATTGCTAGGTTTATTTGGAGAAAACAAAACCCTACCTGAGCATGCCTCACCAAGGATTCAAAGATGGGCTATCACACTAACTGCATACAATTATGAATTGAAATACAAACCTGGATCTGAGAATAGTGCAGATAGTCTGAGTAGATTACCTTTAAAAAACCAAAGCCTGAGCTATGTACCAGAAGATGTATTTGTTCTCTTCACTATCATGGATAACTCCAATATAAATGTGAATGATATTAAAAGAGAAACACAAAAAGATGAGTGCTTAATAAAAGTATATGAGTACTGTAAGAATGGTTGGCCTGAAAAGTCTGTGAATGATGACTTAAGGCCATATAAAATAAGAAATTAAAACCTTTGTGAAGATAATATAAAAGATGGAGAAGATGCAGTCCATTATCAGTCAGAGTTGCCTAAACAAAGTATTTGTAACTTAATAAATGATTATGGTGATATGGCAATCTCAAATGTTTTAAAGAGAATACATTAGTAAGAAGGAATGTGATCATCAAACAACTTTGCTAACATCATTAGCACTTAAAGAAACTAAAAGGGTAACATCAAAAGAAAGAAAAAAAGATTTTTGCCATTTAATACACCCACTTCAAATACTGGATCACAGTTGCAAAGTGATATGGTCCAGAATAGTACTTTTAAACAGTATTTTTGGTTACCAGGAAAGCACTATCAGATTACCTGAGAAAATTGATCAATCAAAGAAATCTATGTCAATTAAGGATCTGAATAACAGCATAATACTTTCAGATGCCAATTCAAAAATAGTTCCATTAGATCATGACAAACATTCATTGAAAGAGAATTTGGTGTTAATGAGAATGTGTATCTAAGAAACTATGGGAGAAGGGAAAAATGGATACCAGGTCAAATTGTTCAATGTACAGGACCTGTGCCTTATAAAGTTAAAAATAACTTGTGCAGATAATAAGTGTGAATCTGTCAATCCCACCAAGTCTGATCAGTTCACACCAACTCAGTTGTTCCACAACCAAGTTCTGTTGATATGAGTGAACCAAGTTGTCTGGAGTCAGAAAATGTAAATTCTGGAGTTAATGATTTAAATCCTAGACCTCCTGAGATAGAGAATCCAAATGGTCAGAATATTGAGTCACCAAATCAAAGGCCACTGAGAAGGTCAAACAGGACAATCAAAGTCCCAAATAAGTTAGACCTATGATTTTAAAGGTCAAAAGGACTTTGACATCATTGTTTTGTATTTTGATTATGTTGTAGCATATTGTGCATTGTTTGTAAGGATGTAATCTACCATAGTGTTCATGTTACAATATAATTGGTAATTTTAGGATACTATCAATTGTTCTATTGAGAGATGTGTTATTGTGTTCTAAGGGTAAAGGGATGTAATAGATTGAAATAATTGTGAGGTCAAGGGAACTCACTCTTCTGTATTAGTTATATTTATAATATTGTTATCTTGAGTGATGTCCCTTGTGTACTTCCTTCCGTCCTCTCTGTGTGTTACCATCGTGATGTAGTTAGACCCATTAAATGTGTTATATACAACCACAGGCTTCTGTCGTCAATCTATTATAACAGTGTTCAACCATTGATCATAAGACTAAACCGGGTTTGGGACGTATCAAATACTACCCCATAATTCAGCCCATACACAAGAAATTTGGAATGTCTGAGTAACACAGCAAGTGTGTCGGCAATGATAGTTACATGTTTTTTAATGTTGTGCCGTTGTTTGGATTTCTCAATGAGTTGACTTATAACCATATTCTACTGAATGCCTTAAGACATACCGACAGCGACGTGTCTGATTGTTGTATAGGTTTTTATGTCTCCTTGTTTCTGCATGCACTCTAAAGTACAACAGGATTTTTCAAACCGCTCTCCTATTTTGAGGCATTTTCCATCATGTAGACAGCCTGTGTTATCGATATAGATTACAAAGTTTACCTACAGCAGAATACAGTTAACACAAAATTTACAATTCAATTTGTAAAATTGCAATCAAAATATAACTTTATACAGGTGTTAAAATGTGTAAGACGATATCGTAAGCATCCAATGCTTTATTAACGAAAGCAAGTTTGTTGTATTTTTCTTATTTTCAGTGCATTTAAAAAAGCTTATTATTATAAAGGTTTTTAAATTTGTTTTATTTTCTACTTTTTAGTAAATGGTTCGTAATTAAGTTACACCACATATGCTAAGACTAAAAATAGTTTAAGTAAAAACCAGATTAGTAGCTTATGATCTCTAAAAGAAAATTATCTTAGTGTATGGAAGTCGAAGACAGGTTGTAGAAAATTTCAAAATCAAACAACTGCTTTCTTGCAGAATCTTCTTGGATAAATGAAAGCTATGGAAGTTAAACAGGGAAGAAAAGCAAGCTGAAATTGAAGTCAACTGGCAATAGAGTGTTGACACATATGAAGGGAACCCGCACAGCGTAAAAAGTTTGAACGAAGAAAAATACTAAAACAACATGTTATTTAATTTCATGAAATATGATGTTTAAGATAACGTCTTAGTCGATAAACAAAATAAGGTTCATTACATTAATTAAACACGTGCAATATTTTTAATAACTAACATCTATGTAATCAGTATCTACAATTTTGAACACAAGCTTCGACAACTGATGTCGTTGTTGACAGCATGTGGACGTAAAAACTTAAGGCTAGCTCTACATGATTATAGGAACTCACTGTAAGATAACGGTTTCATTTGTCCATTATCACATCTGTAATCATTACACAAATCGAACGGAAACCAAAGCTTAGTTACTTGGTCATGCTTAAAAAATTTCCCGTGAAAGTTACACTCTTTTTTTTGCATTTCCTGAAAAAAAAATTGAACTCTAGTTTTTAAAGATTTCGATATGCGTGTTAAATTTCCATTTAAAGATAAATTACTCTTTACTTTCTCGTATACGAAGTAGACTCTATAGAGGAAGTATTGTAATCGTGCAAAAACAAAATCGAGATTTTCATAAATCTTGGCGTTTTACACCTCCCTGAGTTGAAAAAACATAGTTTTGCAATTGTGCCCTTATGTCTCTGTGTGTGTGTGTATGTATGTATGTATGGGTGTATGTTTATTTGTGTGTATCTGTGAACACGATAACTTGAGTACCGTAACAGCTAGGTTGATTAAATTTAATATATAAGAATTATAACAAATTTGTAGCTCTGTTTCAACTTTTCAGCGATATCCGGTAACCGGAAGTGGAACTTATTCTACTTTTAAAATTACCAAAGCCTATTACTTTCAGATAGATAAATGAAATGTCACATGTAAGCAAAAGACCTAATCATCTGCCTTCTGTCAAATTTTGTGAAATTTCCGTTGACCGGAAGTAGTTATTTACGGTATTTCCGATTTCTCAAAAAACGCATGTGAATTTATTTAGTACTAATAATATTCCGCACTCTTATACACATATTGTTTGGCGTTCACTTGGTGCACAACTCTTTTTTCTACGAAATTATATTCTATTATTAAAAGTTTAAGTAATTAAAAATCATGTCCATATTCCAAGTTGCCATCTCCCGTAGTGTTAAATCAGAATATTCGAGAAAGTTTAGGGGAGGTCACTCCCAGTTTTATTCTTTTCGTTTCCTGGAAAAAAAATTCAACTCTTCTTTAAGAGAAAACAAAATGCATATAACATTTTTTTAAAATCATATAGAAACTCATGATTTTTAAGTCATCATTATCTAAATAAATTTCTTACCACTACTGTAATAAGCTGAATAGCGAAAATGCCGAAAATACAAAGACTGGTAATCTGCAAATAAAGTAAACGAACAAAAATTTTTAAGATACAAATGTTTTTAACCGGTCGTTCATTTTCAATTCATTTGGCCACCTGTTTATATTAAAATACTTCATATGAACATTGTTTTTCTCCCTTTAAACATTTTACAGATAATGTGTAAAATAATAATACAAAATATTTTCACCAAAAGATATTTGATTTCTTGGCCGAAACTATAGCACGCTTGCTAACTTGTAAAAAGACACGAATAAGGAACATGTCCTGTCGTTGTTTAATTTTTCGGTTTTAATTTTCCTACATAGAAAGCTACAGAGGCTACAAATATCGACCAAACGAGTGTATTCGGAAGCATAGTGCAGATTTAGAGCAGGAAATCCACTATAGACACAATATTTTCTCTACGGCAGTTACATGAAAGGAGCCTTTTGTGTAACTTGCGTTTTGGCCTTTGCTTTTCCGTTGTCCAAAGCATAGTTTTTGAGTCCATGGAAGACGAAATTCACGTTTATTGCTAGTCTTATGAGAACCCATTCAACCTTTCCCGTCCTACAGGTAAAACAAAAATAAGGCGAACCCTCATTCGTGAGCTGCGATTTGCAAATGACGCTCACTTCACATATGCAGGCAGGGATACAGAGACTTTTAAATGCTATGAAAGCACATCTCGTGAGTTTGGGCTGAAGATTAGCGTGAGCAAATCCGAAATTCTTGCACAGGATGTTTCTCAAACTCTTGTTATCAGCATCGGAAATCACATGCTCACTGTTGTGCAAGAATTTTCTGGGCTCTACCATCGCCAGAAACCTTTTTCGTGACAAAGAGATATCAAGGAGAACACCTCTGGTGCAATGGCCAAACTCTCAAAGCGCGTGTGGAAGAATACAAATCTGAACAGGTATACCAAGATGTTGGTGTATATGTCCCACATTAGCTAGCACTATGCTCTACAGCAGCGAGTATTGGACAACATATGTACACCGTGAATACCATGAAAGAGCACATTTCATATACGCCATCTACGACTCATCGTGGGGGTCACATGGAAAGACCTGGTCTCCAACCAACATTTCTCGAAGCAAGCTGAATACCTTATCTTAAAGAATGTTAACCCAGAGAACACGGTGTTGGTTGGGTCTTGTATGTCGTATGATTGACTGTCATTTTATAAAAGACATCCTCTATGGTACAAGACCCAAGGGACAATCTCTGCTTGATCATAGAGGTGTCTGCAAACGGGATCTATGACAAGCAGACGAAAATCAACAAAAAAGGCCGAGATAGCCACAAAGAGGAGTGTGATTTATCTGCATAACTTTTTTCTGCACAAAAAACTTCTCTGGGCGCGTTATTCATTGTCTACAGAGACTAAAGGAGTCAAATATATGTTTAAGTCAATCGACCACTTATTTGTATCTTAAATTTATATCTTAAATTAACGTACACATATGACATTAAAGAATTAACTTTCGTTATTTTTTTATCCACAGAGCATCCGATCACGATTCACTTATAGAATTGACATTTTCAGAGCATAGATCATAGAATTAATTTACAATGATGTATATATATATATATATATATATATATATATATATATATATATATATATATATATATATATATATATATATATATATATATATATATATATATATATATATACTAGCCGTCCCGGCCAGGCCCTGCTCTGGCTTCTGTGAAAAACCTTTCTGTTAAAGACCATTACCTGTGTGTTTAGTAATCATCATAAACCCGACATTGCCCACAACCAACCAAAACAACAAAACGCAAACATAACGCTAACACAATTACAAATACAAACGAAAACAAAAACCTAACAACAAACCCAACCACAACCACAAACACCAATACAAACACAAAGAAAAAACAAACAAAAAAGCAAACGAAAACAAAAACCTAACCACAAACACCAATACCAACAAAAAAAAAAACAACGAAAAAGCAAACGAAAACAAACCAAATCCAAACGCAAAACCAACCAAAAACACAAATACAAACCCAAAGAAAAAAACACAAACAAAAACGAAAAAAGAAAGAACAAAAACGAACCAAATCAAAACGCAACCACTAACGCAAACCCACCTAAACACAAAGAAAACACTAACGCGAACATAAACGCCCGGGGCGGAATCACCTGTTTTAGCTTAATGAACGACTATAGTACCCCAACTTATTCATAGTCTTTTGCACTCACTTAAACGAACGCGCCTGTTTCAATTTGATGAACAATTATAATACTCCAAGCTTATCCGTAAAATACCTACAACATTTGCACTTGATCAATCCCCGCTAATTATGTAATTATTTTTTTTCCCAACACCAAAACAAAGTACTTAAAAAGTAAATTCTTTTCCACAAAATGCAATGGTTTTATAAAGGGAAGTAATTGTGTTTTCCCTAATTTATCAAAGGGAAGTAAGTGCTATAGGACTAAATAAAGACATAATTAGAATTTTTGTAAAAGATGATATTTTTTTTAAAACTTGTGTTTAATGAACATGCCGACAATTATTACTATAATTTGAAAAATGAAAATTATTTCCCAACACTTTCAATGGTAATTTTTTAGCTCATAAATTTAGACAAATGCGCACGATAATTTTTCTAACACTTAAAATCGTACAATTCCAACGACATACAAATGCATTACATACAGAACTGAGCTTTATATATTAGATATATACTAGCCGTCCCGGCCAGGCCCTGCTCTGGCTTCTGTGAAAAACCTTTCTGTTAAAGACCATTACCTGTGTGTTTAGTAATCATCATAAACCCGACATTGCCCACAACCAACCAAAACAACAAAACGCAAACATAACGCTAACACAATTACAAATACAAACGAAAACAAAAACCTAACAACAAACCCAACCACAACCACAAACACCAATACAAACACAAAGAAAAAACAAACAAAAAAGCAAACGAAAACAAAAACCTAACCACAAACACCAATACCAACAAAAAAAAAACAACGAAAAAGCAAACGAAAACAAACCAAATCCAAACGCAAAACCAACCAAAAACACAAATACAAACCCAAAGAAAAAAAACACAAACAAAAACGAAAAAAGAAAGAACAAAAACGAACCAAATCAAAACGCAACCACTAACGCAAACCCACCTAAACACAAAGAAAACACTAACGCGAACATAAACGCCCGGGGCGGAATCACCTGTTTTAGCTTAATGAACGACTATAGTACCCCAACTTATTCATAGTCTTTTGCACTCACTTAAACGAACGCGCCTGTTTCAATTTGATGAACAATTATAATACTCCAAGCTTATCCGTAAAATACCTACAACATTTGCACTTGATCAATCCCCGCTAATTATGTAATTATTTTTTTTCCCAACACCAAAACAAAGTACTTAAAAAGTAAATTCTTTTCCACAAAATGCAATGGTTTTATAAAGGGAAGTAATTGTGTTTTCCCTAATTTATCAAAGGGAAGTAAGTGCTATAGGACTAAATAAAGACATAATTAGAATTTTTGTAAAAGATGATATTTTTTTTAAAACTTGTGTTTAATGAACATGCCGACAATTATTACTATAATTTGAAAAATGAAAATTATTTCCCAACACTTTCAATGGTAATTTTTTAGCTCATAAATTTAGACAAATGCGCACGATAATTTTTCTAACACTTAAAATCGTACAATTCCAACGACATACAAATGCATTACATACAGAACTGAGCTTTATATATTAGATATATACTAGCCGTCCCGGCCAGGCCCTGCTCTGGCTTCTGTGAAAAACCTTTCTGTTAAAGACCATTACCTGTGTGTTTAGTAATCATCATAAACCCGGCATTGCCCACCCAAACCACAACCAACCAAAACCAAAACAACAAAACGCAAACATAACGCTAACACAATTACAAATACAAACGAAAACAAAAACTTAACAACAAACACAACCATACCCACAAACACCAATACAAACACAAAGAAAAAAACAAACAAAAAAGCAAACGAAAACAAAAACCTAACAACAAACCCAACCACAAACACCAATACCAACAAAAAAAAAATCAACGAAAAAAGCAAACGAAAACAAACCAAATCCAAACGCAAAACCAACCAAAAACACAAATACAAACCCAAAAAAAAAAAAAAACACAAACAAAAACGAAAAAAGAAAGAACAAAAACGAACCAAATTAAAACGCAACCACTAACGCAAACCCACCTAAACACAAAGAAAACACTAACGCGAACATAAACGCCCGGGGCGGAATCACCTGTTTTAGCTTAATGAACGACTATAGTACCCCAACTTATTCAGTCTTTTGCACTCACTTAAACGAACGCGCCTGTTTCAATTTAATAAACAATTTTAATACTCCAAGCTTATCCGTAAAATACCTACAACATTTGCACTTGATCAATCCCCGCTAATTATGTAATTATTTTTTTTCCCAACACCAAAACAAAGTAATTAAAAAGTAAATTATTTTCACGGAATGCAATGGTTTTTTATAAAGGGAAGTAATTGTGTTTTTCCTAATTTATCAAAGGGAAGTAAGTGCTATAGGACTAAATAAAGACATAATTAGAATTTTTGTAAAAGATGATATTTTTTTTTAAACTTGTGTTTAATGAACATGCCGACAATTATTACTGTAATTTGAAAAATGAAAATTATTTCCCAACACTTTCAATGGTAATTTTTTAGCTCATAAATTTAGACAAATGCGCACGATAATTTTTCTAACACTTAAAATCGTACAATTCCAACGACATACCAATCCATTACATACAGAACTGAGCTTTATATATTAGATATATATATATATTAATATATATATATATATATAAATATATATATAAATATATATAAAGTACTAACCATTCTCATTCCGAATTGACACCCACTAAGCAGCAGGAAAGCGACTAACGTAAAGACTGCTACAGTTGTTTTTAAAATAAATCACTATAACATATGGTTACCAAACAACAAATAACGCAATCGTGTGGAAAATTATGAAAAAAAACAATGAATAGATAAAAGATGTAAAGACTGCAAGATGTCGTAATGGGATGTCGTGTGGAGTGAGATGTCTGTAGAGTGGGGTGTCGTGTGGAGTGGAGTGTCGTGCGGAGAGGAGTGTCATTCGTGTGAAATGGAGTGTGGAGTAGCGTGTCATGTGGAGTGTCGTGTGGAGTGTCGTGTGGAGTAGAGAGTCGTGTGGAGTAGAGTGTCGTGGAGTGGAGTATCGTGTGGATTGTGGTGGGGTATCGTGTGGAGTCGAGTGTGGAGGGGTATCGTGTGGAGTGGAGTGTGGTGGGGTATCGTGTGGAGTGGAGTGTGGTGGGGTATCGTGTGGAGTGGAGTGTGGTGGGGTATCGTGTGGAGTGGAGTGTGGTGGGGTATCGTGTATTGGGTATATGCAGAGTGGGGTGTCATGTGGAATGGAGTTTGGTGGGGTGTCGTGTGGAGTGTAGTGTCGTGTGGAGTGGGGTGGGATGTCATGTGGAGTGGGGTGTCGTGTGGAGTGTAGTGGGGTGTCGTGTGGAGTGGGGTGTCGTGTGGAGCGTAGTGGGGTGTCGTGTGGATTGGGGTGTCGTGTGGAGTGGGGTTTCGTGTGGAGTGGAGTGTGAATTGGCTTTTCGTGTGTTAGGTGTATGCAGAGTGGGGTGTCATGTGGAATGGAGTGTGGAGGGGTGTCGTGTGGAGTGTCGAGTGGAGTGGAGAGTGGATTGGAGTTAAGTGGGGTGTCGTGCTTTGCCATGTCGAGCAGAGTATTGCGATATTTGGTCTACAACGTGTTTTCTGTGTTATTCATCTAATGGCGTGGAGTGTGATTTATGAGGTGTGGTGTGTGTGGTGTAGGATCAATGACTGTGTGTGGACAGTGGGGTTGGGTGCAGGAGGGTGTGTGAGGTTTGTGGAGTATTGGATGGTGTGGGGAGTGTAGTGGTGTTAATCGGGGTGAAAAGATGCGTCGGGGCTATGTTGGGTTTGGTTCGAGGTGTGGTTCATGAATTCGTGGGTGGGTGGAAGGGGGTGGCTTGAGGTGTGGAGTGGTTATTATGGAGTTTAGTCTTGTTCGTGTGTTGTTTAATGTTTGTTTGAAGTGCGATAGCGTGTGATACATTGGCAGTTGTGTGTGGGATGTGGCGTAAAGAATTAGTGTGGTGATAGAGTTACAAGATTTGCTGCATGGACAGACACACAACTAAATAAAAGCTTTGAATAAAACTGCACTCACCTGATCAAAGCACTCAAATCGTATTGATCATGTTTTTATTATAGAATACACGGCAATCAACTGGAAATATTACTTAAGCTCTGAGTAGAGTGTCGTGTGGAGTGGAATGGGGTGTCGTGCGGAGTGGAGTGTGATGGGGTATCGTGTGGAGTGGAGTGTAGAGTGTGGTGGGGTATTGTGTGGAGTGGAGTGTGGTGTGGTATCGTGTGTAGTGGAGTGTGGTGGGGTATCGTGTGTAGTGGAGTGTGGAGTGTGGTGGGGTATCGTGTGGAGTGGAGTGTGGTGGGGTATCGTGTGTAGTGGAGTGTGGAGTGTGGTGGGGTATCGTGTGGAGTGGAGTGGGGTGTCGTGTGTTGTGTGTATGCAGAGTGGGGTGTCATGTGGAATGGAATGTGGTGGGGTGTCGTGTGGAGTGGGGTATCGTGTGGAGTGAAGTGGAGTTTCGTGCTTTGGGGTGTGGAGCAGAGTATTGCGATATTTAGTCTACAACTACAACATGTTTTTTGTCTTGAGTGATGTGATGGAGTTTGATTTATGAGGTGTGGTGTGTGTGGTGTAGGATCAGTGACTATGTATGGTGTAGGATCAATGACTGTGTGTGGACAGTGAGGTTGTTTGCAGGAGGGTGTGTGAGGTTTGTGGAGTATTGGATGGTGTGGGGAGTGTAGTGGTGTTGATCGGGGTGAAAAGATGCGTCGGGGCTATGTTGGGTTTGGTTCGAGGTGTGGTTCATGAATTCGTGGGTGGGTGGAAGGGGGTGGCTTGAGTTGGTTAGTGTGGAGTTTAATCTTGTTCGTGTGTTGTTTAATGTTTGTTTGAAGTGCGATAGTGGGTGATGCATTGGCAGTGGTGTGTGGGATGTGGGGTACACAATTAGTGGGGTGATAGAGTTGCAAAATTTGCTGCATAGACAGACACACAAATAGACATACATCATCAACTAAATAAAACCTTTGAATAAAACTGCACTCATCTGATCAAAGCATTCACATGGTATTAATCATGATTTTTTTATAGAACACAAGGCAATCAACTAGAAATATTATTTAAGCTTACTTATCATATCTCTTTATTCCAAATAAGATTGCACTCAAAGTAAACGGAATTCAGAAAGAATAGTTCTACCGCAAAACACTTTTAGATCAAGCCATGCGTAGAATCAGGTACGATTTCTTTTTTTTTTTTTTGCCTCAGACATGTAATTTACAGCGTCAGTTTACCTTGCCATGTTTTCGTCATCGGTTTGTAAGGATTGATACAGATTTACACTTGTAATACTTTTTTCTCCCGGGCAGATGAGGCTCAATAACTAGGAGAGACAACTCCAAATGTTAAAAAACTGCTACTTTGTAGTTTGTTCTGGGTTGGACAAAGGCTATAGAAGCAAATCCAAAAAGAACAGCATAACAAGTTCACATGTTAAACTTAATTGTGTTGGAGGGAATCCCTTTCAATGCTAGAATTAAGAACGGCTAAGAAGACTTTTTCTGACGTGCACTTTCATTCTTAAGATGGTTTACTTATACATAATAATTCAATACAAAAACGTCTTATTACAATCTATATATATAATTCTCTTCTGGGAGACGCTAGAAAACAAGCTGTAAACGCACTCCCTACCATCCCCACCCCTAAATGGTCTTAGTGAGCTGTGGTTCACGCTATGTTTACCTTCGTGGAGTCGGGTTTAGTGACGGCTATTAAAGGCAGATAATTTAGTTTGAAACGATTTTAAACGTTGGGGGGGGGGGGGGGGGGGCGGAAGGAAAGGGGGGGGGTTATGGTCCTTAACGAGCTACTTATATTGTTTTAAAGAAATATTTTCAGTGTCAGCGTTGGTACTGTCGAATTCACAAATTATGAATTACTGAAAAGTAGAAAAAACAACAACTAAATAGCGGCGTATGTTATGCCGCGGGCCGGCTCGTTTATTATTAAATCTGAAAATGCAAATATGTGACAAATTTTACGTGTATAATATTTATTCTGTATGAGAATGTAATATCTGTTACGTGTAACAAAATGTTATAAAAATATGGATGGGTGCGTCATTTAAGCCATGAGATAAAACCTTTAATTTGGGGGTGGAGTTGATTAAAGTTTGACACATTTCAGGGGGGGGGGAAGGGTCATGTGATATGTCATGATAGGGAGGAAATAAGTATAAGGTAAAATTCTCAAAAAAAAAAAACAAAAAAAAACGCGTGGCACATATAGACGCCCACTGATGGTCAGAGTTGAAGGAGAAAAGTGGATGAGGGTAGAGGGGGGGGGGGGGGGGGGGGGGGCTGGGGAGGAGGGGGTGAGAGAAGCAGGAAAGGTAGGACAGGAGACAGAGAACTGGGATGACATGGATGGTAGGAGAGTCTGGAGGATTTTGGAATTTTGAAATCCCAATTTTAAAAGTTCACCTGTCTCTCCCCCCCCCCCCCCCCCCCAATCCTCTAGAATGCTTAAGTCATCACATAATGGTTTATCAAAGCTATGATATCCATACAGACAAATATGAACCAATTCAGGCTGAGGCTTTCATGTCAAAGATTTATTGAACAATATTTTAATAATAGCTATGAACACAATTAGATTACAGTTCAGTTGAACCAACAATCGATGCAATGCCCCCCCCCCCCACCAGTTACAAGCTTTGCACACGTTTTTGTATGAAATATTTAGGTGATTGAACAGATACACACATCTACAGGTACACTAATCAACAGGTAAATACATCAACAGGTAAACACATCAACAGGCACACACATCAGCAGGTACACACATCAACAGGTACACTAATCAACAGGTACACTAATCAACAGGTACACTAATCAACAGGTACACACATAATCAGGTACACACATCTACAGGTACACTAATCAACAGGTACACTAATCAACAGGTACACTAATCAACAGGTACACTAATCAACAGCCACACACATCAACAGGTACACTAATCAACAGGTACACTAATCAACAGGTACACTAATCAACAGGTACACTAATCAACAGGTACACTAATCAACAGGCACACACATCAACAGCCACACACATCAACAGATACACACATCAACAGGTACACACATCAACAGGTACATACATAATCAGGTACAAAAATCTACATGTAAATACTAGGCCACATCAACAGGCACAAAAATCTACAGGTAAATACATCAACAGGTAAACACATCATCAGGTATACACTAGACCACATCAGCAGGTACACACTAGGCTACATCAACAGGCACACACATCAACAGGTACACACAACATCAGGTATACACTAAGCCACATCACCAGCTAGACAAAACACAAGGTCCCAGTGTTAGTCACAACACAGTGCACCATGCCCAACAACTTCTGCTTCTCTACAGTACTCATCTTGTTCCCACTCAGATCCTCCTGTCTCGCCAGATCTACATCAACAACTTTCCCCACATCCTCCTCTTCCTCCAACTCAGCTGTTTCATTCAAATTCTGTTCTTTAGAGTTATCCCCCTTGTGTGAGCTCTTTCTTGGTGAAGACAGTTTTTTTGTTGAGCTTATGACCAGCTCGTCTGTGTTGATGCCCCTGAATTTGAGAACAAGGTCAACAGTTTTCAACACGGCTGCCAGGTTTAGGAGTTTGGCGGAGTGGTGGAGCAGGAGACACGACTCCACTGGGTGGAGCACCAACAGACCAGTAGACATCATGGGGGACAGTCTGTTTGAGCTTTGACCCGTGGGGGGCTCAGTGTCATTCACCAGGTGTGGGGGTGAAGAGAGTGGACATGGGTCTGGACACACCATGGAATGAAGCACTGTAACCACTTGGCTGACACTCTCTACTGAAGCATTGCTGGTAAAAAAAAATAACAGGATTTTATGCACAAACTGAATGTTTCATCACTCAAACTAGTGGTGTGGGCAGGATTTTGTCTTAAGGCAGGTGTTTTTTCTTCCATAACAACTTCAAAAGTATATAATTGCAATTTAATATAAATTTTAAAATTGTAAACATTAACAACTTTCATTTAGCAAGGGGGTAAAGGGGGAGAGGGGGGGGGGGGGGTCTAAGTGTAAAGAAAACCTCCTGGCCAACACTACTGATTCTAAACTGTAAACTACTAAGTACAACAAAAGGTTCATTAAAAATTATGAAAATTAAAACATGAAATCTATTAAGCAGTTTTAATAATTTTATAGGTTATAAGTTTAATGGCCCATTGGTAGATTGCGTACTGGAAATCCAAGCACAAAGCTTAGGGGGTACGATGAGAAGACCCAAACACAGCAATTAAAATCTCTAAATGATATTTAAAATCTTCAATACTAAGATAGAAAGTGCTTTTGAACCAAAAGAAGCTGAAAACCAATGTACTAAATACAAAATTGTCTCCCCTCATCATGGGAGGTAAGAAACAAAATGTGGAGATTGCTGGGAATGGAAAAAATATGGTGGTGGTTCTTCATGGTGCTGTTGTAGTACCTATAAAGACCACCTCAGATCTATACTGGCAACAGAGCTCTGGTAAAACTCCCAGAGCTAATCACCAATTAATGGTTAAAATTCATTAGATAAACCTTGGGTGGGCCCTATGCAGGGTGCCAAAAGGAATAAGAAGAAATAAAAACTGAAATGGACTGCAGATTTTCATATTATTTTCCTGCTCGTGCCCATCTCACCCATAAAGGTACCCCAAAGCGCATCCACACCCGCCCCCCGCATTGAAATAGAAAAATTATATTTTATACAGAAAACATATAATTTAACTAGTGTCAGGCATCCCAGATATTTAAATGCTGTCCTTCCCCCCCCCCCCCCCCCCCCCTTCTCCGTGGAGAAAAATGTCTGAAAGAAACATAGATATATAATAGTTCATCTTTTTTAACGACCTTGTGGTCCGCACTATGCCCATTGCCTTTGTTTCCCTAACGTCAGTCAGGTACCCATCAGAGCTTGGTGGACTCAAAAGACGTGCTACATACACGAGCCCTCAAGAATCTCAACTTTTGTTAGCTCTACATCCAACCATGCCGTCCCATAACAGAATATTTTAGCTGTTTAATAACAAAGGTCCATTGAAATGACAAAAGGTCTTAAGGTCTTAAAAGCAATATAAACACTGACCTTAAATGCCAGATCAAGTTCTTTACAATCAACCCCATCTGTATCATTGTTGACTTAGGGACTCTAGGAACTGTAACTCTGCTGCTTGTTTTGGTGGACTTGCCCTCTTCCTTAGAGTTATCTTTTCCTGTTTCCTCGGTTTCCATGTCTGACTCTTCATCCCCCTCATTCACAGTGTCACCTGTCTGGTGACCTAACGCCCCCTCCAGCTTGCTGCTGGCTACACCAGTTTGTGAGGGGGTGGCTGGGTCTTTTAAGTACTTGACTGTAGACAGACTGAACCAGAGCGTGTGGACAATATCACAGAGATGGTCTGTGTTGTGAGGACGGCTCTTTCTGTTAGCAAAGAAAACACAGAATTAGAATGTTGACATTGTATTTTGTTTCCATAATAAGTTTTAGAAACATGTTTGAGAAAAATAAGTTCCACAAATAATTATTAGAAAAAAAAGTTTCTCCAATAAGTTTTAGAAAAAAGACCCCCAAATAAGATTTAGAAACAAGTTATAGAAAAAAGACCAACAATTAAGTTTTAGAAACATGTTAAAGAAAAATAAGATCCACAAATGATTATTAGAAAAAAAGTTTCACCAATAAGTTGTAGAAAAAAGTTCTAAAAATAGACCAACAAATAAGTTTTAGGAACAAGTTTTAGAGAAAATGTTTCACAAATATCTTTGGTATCTACACTAACTAAGAGAAGAGAAGGAAACAGGTTAACTGTTATATATGTTGTGGTTTCAGCTTAATGCATTTGTTAATCAGGAATTTTTCTCTGTAAACACATCCTTCTAAGAGAACCAAATTATAAAATTATCTAATTCTTTAAAATCTCAGCCATATTTTTATTTCAGAAGGACAACTACTGAAATAGCAAATACAGACAGCCATTACATTGAGGCTCAAGTCAATTATACTATTTACACCTGTGCAATAATCGCAAGGTGGCCTAAATCGCATATACAAATATTGAAAAATTTAAAAACAATAAAAATTTTAGAGGAATTTACCAGTAAATGAAATAAAACCTAGTGACACTAAAATCCTCTGTGTAGTAAAAATGAATCAAGTCAATTTAAGTGATTAAATTTGTAATGGCAGCTATAGTCAGCCTGAACAACTTGTGACATGTAATAGATTATTATATCAGGCCAAGAATGTGATGATTATAACACAAACAGTTAGCCAATCATACACAAACTTACAAGTCAGTAACCGCTGCAGTTAGCCAATCATACTCAAACTTACAAGTCAGTAACCGCTGCAGTTAGCCAATCATACTCAAACTTACAAGTCAGTAACCGCTGCAGTTAGCCAATCATACTCAAACTTACAAGTCAGTAACCGCTGCAGTTAGCCAATCATACTCAAACTTACAAGTCAGTAACCGCTGCAGTTAGCCAATCATACACAAACTTACAAGTCAGTAACCGCTGCAGTTAGCCAATCATACTCAAACTTACAAGTCAGTAACCGCTGCAGTTAGCCAATCATACACAAACTTACAAGTCAGTAACCGCTGCAGTTAACCAATAATACACAAACTTACAAGTCAGTAACCGCTGCAGTTAGCCAATCATACTCAAACTTACAAGTCAGTAACCGCTGCAGTTAGCCAATCATACACAAACTTACAAGTCAGTAACCGCTGCAGTTAACCAATAATACACAAACTTACAAGTCAGTAACCGCTGCAGTTAGCCAATCATACTCAAACTTACAAGTCAGTAACCGCTGCAGTTAGCCAATCATACACAAACTTACAAGTCAGTAACCGCTGCAGTTAACCAATAATACACAAACTTACAAGTCAGTAACCGCTGCAGTTAGCCAATCATACTCAAACTTACAAGTCAGTAACCGCTGCAGTTAGCCAATCATACTCAAACTTACAAGTCAGTAACCGCTGCAGTTAACCATGAGAGCAGGCCATGTTTCTTTATCAAATCCACAGCTACAGACTTCTCCCTGCAAGCGTTTCTGATCACTCCAAGAATTAGTTCCTGAAAAGTTTTGTATATTTTAGAATTTTGCGAAAAATAAATATTTCTGATTACTCAAAGAATTATTCCTAAAATGTTTGGTTTATATTTGAATTATGCCAAAAATCAGCAAACAAAAATCCGTATTACTGAAGAATTAGTTCCTGAAATTTTTTTTATTAATTTCAGAATTTGGTAAATGGGGAAGAAATAGCTACTGAAAATTTTATTTTAGAATTTAGCAAAACATTTGGACATTCAAATTAAACAATAGGGGTAGCTTTGGTATGTCAAAATGCTGTATTCTGCATATTTAGTTCTTAGTATTGTAAAAATAAAAAAAGCCTACTCTAACTAATTATGGGTGTCATGGCATGTTAGCTCTAAACCTGACAAGGTTTTGAGCCAGCCCATTAGATGAACAGTTGCTTCTTCTATAGGTGGTCACTTGTACATCCTGAATCTTACAAGCACCTGCATTCTATTTCACCTGTCACATGATGTCACTATGCTCAATGTCACACTTGTAACTATTCTGCCTTTTAATATATTTTATTTTTTGAACCTGTCATCTAAAAGACAACAGTCTCACCTGTCATCTGTATGCTATGACATTGTAACACATGTCACCTGAGAGTCATGACACTGTCTCACCTGTCATCTGTCAGTCATGACTGTCTCACCTGTCATCAGTAATCTATGACATTGTAACACATGTCACCTGAGAGTCATGACACTGTCTCACCTGTCATCTGTAAGTCATGACACTGTCTCACCTGTGAATGGCTGTCACTGAGCATTGAGTCATGGTAACACATGTCACCTGACACTGTCTCACCTGTCATCTGTCAGTCATGACACTGTCTCACCTGTGAATGTCTGTCACTGAGCATTGAGTCGTGGTAACACATCAATATTTTGAAGATGAGTTTCTTCTGGTACAGCCAGTAGTCAGAGTTCTCCCTCATGCCATCCCTCAGTAGTACCAGCAACCAGTTCCTTTCTTGCTTGTACTGAAACAGTGGATACATCATTTACACAGGCTGCTTCATTAATTATAGGATGTTAAGTACAGGATCCTTTCATAAAGATGCCAGTGTCTAGGCTAAACCTAGATACCTTCAGACTTTTATGCCCCTTTTCACTTAATAAACTCTAAAGGGTTGATGTCCAGGGAGTTTATGACCCTGAGAAGATGTACCTGTACAGTGCCACTAAACCTATGACACACCTTTACAGTGCCACTAAACCTACAGTGTCACTAAGCATATGATGCACCTGTACAGTGCCACTAAACCTATGACACACCTGTACAGTGTCACTAAACCTATGATGCACCTGTACAGTGCCACTAAACCTATGACACACCTGTACAGTGCCACTAAACCTATGACGCACCTGTACAGTGCCACTAAACCTATGACACACCTGTACAGTGCCACTAAACCTATGACACACCTGTACAGTGCCACTAAACCTATGACACACCTGTACAGTGCCACTAAACCTATGACACACCTGTACAGTGCCACTAAACCTATGACACACCTGTACAGTGCCACTAAACCTATGACACACCTGTACAGTGCCACTAAACTTGTGACGCAACTGTACAGTGCCACTAAACCTATGACACACATGTACAGTGCAACTAAACCTATGACGCACCTGTACAGTGCCACTAAACCTATGACACACCTGTACAGTGCCACTAAACCTATGACACACCTGTACAGTGCCACTAAACATGTGACACACCTGTACAGTGCCACTAAACCTATGACACACCTGTACAGTGCCACTAAACCTATGACACACCTGTACAGTGCCACTAAACATGTGACACACCTGTACAGTGCCACTAAACCTATGACACACCTGTACAGTGCCACTAAACCTATGACACACCTATACAGAGCCACTAAACCTATGACACACCTGAACAGTGCCACTAAACATGTGACACACCTGTACAGTGCCACTAAACCTATGACACACCTATACAGTGCCACTAAACCTATGACACACCTGTACAGAGCCACTAAACCTATGACGCACATGTACAGAGACACTAAACCTATGACACACATGTACAGTGCAACTAAACCTGTGAATCACCTGTACACTGCCACAACAAAAACTTATATATTGTGTCTTACCTAACAGTTCCAGTAAAAAAAGCTGATAAATTTTGACTTACCTGTACAGTGCCACTACAAAAAGCTGATTAACTTTGACTTACCTGTACAGTGCCACTACAAAAGCTGATTAACTTTGACTTACCTGGACAGTTCCACTAAAAAAAAGCTGATAAAACTCTGGCACATTGGTCAGGTCCATCTCAGGTTTGGCCACCAGGAATCGGAAGATTGGCATGTACAAGGGGTCAGCTGTCAATCAAATTTAATTTTATCAATAATCACGAAAAAACTCAATTATTCTTATTTTATTTACACAACAAGAAAGGGGTCTAGGAATTTGATTTTGTGATTTAAAATATTTTAAATTATTTATTCCAGTACACACCAATGGAAGTTGTTTTTATAAAATCTAACTCAAAACTATTAATTTTAAATTGTCTTATATAAGTAGCAAACTAATACATTTGGTACTTAAAAAAATTCCACCAAGTATATTAGTCACTAGAAGTTGCAGCGTTACTGATCCTCAAACAGTTATGACTAGTGAAATCAGCGTTACAAATGGTTTGATAAGGAATGAAAAACTCACGTTACTATTTAACAACGCTAACTACAAAATAAATCCCCGAAAAATAATTTGAAAATAAACGCTACATATTTATAAAAAATAACAAGTAGATCTATATTAGAACTTTAACATATTTTATTTAAATTTGAGACTGTCAGAACTTTCACATACCTGGGTACAGCATCAACTTGACCACACGTGAGAAAAACAAGGCCAGGATGTAGGTCAACTTCTGCCCGTCTTTTGACCTACTGGCATTTAGCAAGTCCAGTAGAAAGGTGACCTCTTGTCTCTCCTGCCACCTGGATCCCTCCGCGTGCAGGTAGAAATCATTCAGTGCATGGTAGGCCAAAAGCCTGGTTTGGAGGTCGTGACTGCTGAGGGCTATGAGAAGATAACTCAAGCAACCTTTCTCTACGAATATACGCAGTGGGACTATTTTATCTGGAGAGTGATTAAAACAAATTATTAACATTTTTTTTAAAGTTCATCATTAATTTCATTAATTATCTGAAATACTGTTCAATTTAATTTAATTAAAAAAAAAACTAAAGTCATAAATGTTTTAAAATGATTGGTTGGTAATTCTTTAGACCTATCAATCCATTGGGCAGATTAGAGTTCATATGTTTCTAGACCTCAGCGTACAAAGGGAAAATATACTCAGTCATTTCCTAAAATGAGTTGGGTACCCATCACAGCTGGATGGACTCAGGAACAATCCACTGCCTTGAACCCGGATTTGAACTCAAGACTTTCAGGTTAGCAGTCTAGTATTCTATTGCATTCTATTGCTAGGCCACACCATCCATGGGTGGCTATTTACATAACACAAAACACAAGTGCTTCATATACAGGTATTATGGGTAGAAATGTAAAATTTAATTGGGTTTTTTTTTAAATTGTGAGACATTTTAAAATGTAAACTTACCTGGGGTGAGAATCTGACAAAACAGTTTCAACAAAAAGTTGGGGTCATAACATTCTGGCTTTGACTTGTATTCATCTGCATCAAGGATTTCTGTGCCCTAAATAATGATACCAAGTTAGAAATATGGGATAACTCTAAATTATATTTCCCTTACTAAATAGCCTCCCTTTAAAAAAATTTTTTTTTTTTTTTTACTTTGGTTAAGTATATCAAGCAACACATGAAAATAGAACTCACAGACTGAACTCTCCTGACTGGGAAGTTTAAAATGGAGTCCTGTATCTTAGCTGGGTCAAGTTGGTCCAAAACTGACTTGACTGAAGCTTGTTTGTCTAGACTTGGTCCTAAGACTTGCGCGACTGTGTGATTGTCCACTGCAGCTTTCCCCCATAGGGTGGGACTGTTGATAAAATAATTGTAGCCTATGAAAGGACTGCTAATACATTACAATTGTAATATAATAATATATATATATATATTTAATTATATTAAAAACTATTAAGGACATAAAAATATACACACAAGTCTCAAGTTCAAATCCGTTTGAACATCTCTGAGTCCACCCAGCTCTGATGGTTAACTGACTCACATTAGGGAAAGTATCCCTTTAAAGGTCAAGGTCACAGAAACAGGGAACTCTAGTTCGCTTGACCACGGACCATTAGGTTCAAACAGGGAGCTTTGCTTACTTTTACAATTATATTTACCAGAAGTTATTTACCAAGGACTTTTATGGAGAATTCAATAATATTCTACATCACCACTAAACCAATTTCCTTAGACTGTCATGTACAATCACAGCAATAACCAGATAATTTAACTCACCATTCAAATTCTTTATCAGACGTTTGACATTTCTTAATCATTATCAGCAGTCTTTGATCTGCATGGATATAAAGATTTTATTCTATTATAAATATACTTTTTCTAAGCCATCTAAGATTTGTTGATATACACCATATCCCCCTCTCCCTTCACCAGCTAGTATAAAAAAACTATTTGTCAGACAGAGTGTATCGCCTTAAACTCCCAGTGAAAATAACATATCTGGCTGTGTACAAATACAAGGCCCTACTAAAGCCTACCTCTCAGGCTGTGTACAAACAAGCTCCCACAAAACCCTACTTGTCTGGCTTGATGTAACACCACAACCCCCCCCCCCCCCCTTGCTCCACTAAAGACTACCTGTCTATGTGTACACAAGCCCCCACTAAAGCCTACCTGTCTGACTGAACATGTCACCATAAGCCCCCACTGTCTGGCTTAATGTACCACCATAAGCCCCCACTAAAGCCTACCTGTCTGACTGAACATGTCACCATAAGCCCCCACTGTCTGGCTTAATGTACCACCATAAGCCCCCACTAAAGCCTACCTGTCTGACTAAGCATGCCACCATAAGCCCCCACCAGTGCCTTGCTCAAGGATGACTCAACACAAGATGGATCCAGACAGAACAAGCAGTGGAGCAGCTTCACAAGCCCATCTAAAAATAGATACAAACATTTACCATAAATAAATCATTGGTTGTTTTTTTGGCAAACTCTGAAATTAAATACATATTTTTTTTAAGCTAATACTAATATGGCTATTCGGGTAATCAATATAAATAGACAAAGCAGAGTACAACAGCTTGAATTATGAAAGGTCTATGTGACTGAGATAACTTTATCTTTGCCAACTTGTCAGGCACCTATTTGGGACTACTAGTCAAGCTGATGATGGAATGACAAACCCAGTTTTGGATTTGTGCGCATGGATTTGTCTCCACAATCTCCTCTTTCCTTACCCCAACCTCAAGTTAAGATGTGTGGAAAGTGTAACAAACCACATATAGAATGACATAATGTACCTTTGGCAGTGTCATCTGACAGCATAACACTGATGTCAGATGTCAACCTAACTTTGGCAAGTGACATCACATGACAACATACCTCTAGCAGTGTCATTATGACACTGACATCACATGACAACATACTTTTAGCAGTGTCAGTGTCATAATGACATTGATGTCACATGACCACATACCTTGGCAGTGACATCATGAAACTGATATCACGTGACAACATATCTTTGGCAAGTGACGTCACATGTTAACATATCTTCAGCAGTGTCGCCTGACAGCATAACACTGATGTCACATGACTTAACTTGGCAGTGTCATTATGACACTGATATTACACGATAACCTACCTCTAGCAGTGTCATTATGACAATGACGTTACATGACAACATACCTCTAGCAGTGTTGTCTGACATCATGACACTGATGTCACATGATAACATACCTCTAGCAGTGTCATTATGACATTGACGTCACATGACAACATACCTCTAGCAGTGTCATTATGACATTGACGTCACATGACAACATACCTCTAGCAGTGTCATTATGACATTGACATCACATGATAACATACCTCTAGCAGTGTCATTATGACACTGACATCACATGACAACATACCTCTAGCAGTGTCGTCTGACAGCATGACACTGACAAACCCCGTGTGGCTGATGATCATCTGGAACATGGTCCGCACACTCACGTAAGGCTTGTCTGCTGTAGGTGGCGCTGTCGCTGATTTGTGCGGAGACTCCAAAGCATACACCTGAGGGGTCAGACAGGACAGTAGTTCCAACAGCTTCTTATCTTTGTATTTCTGCCTGTGTCAACAGAAACAAAGTTAGAATAACATCTTAATTTACTTCATGCAGAAATGACACACAAAAATAAATAGGAGTAAGAGTAAAATAAAAAATTTATTAATAATTTAATTTTTAATTAATTTTTAGAACAAAAACAAAACAAACTAGAATTAACACAAATTATTCAATTATTAAAATATGAGTTAATCTATTTGCATGTTTGATTATCACATGAAGTTAGAAAGTTAATTTTAATTTTATTTTATATAGTGCTATAACTATTGTGTGTTTAAATAATAAACTAAGGAACAAAGAAATCCAAACATACTTGAGTGTATTCATGACTAGCTGTCCCCAATAAGGAATTAGGAATGTCAGCGTTGATTTTTTCAATTCTGGTATCTAGGTGAAAGAGACAAAATGATTTATTTCAAGTTTTTTTTTAATGCATAAAACATAGATACATCTTAAATTAAATATTTTATTCTTTGGTTTATTAGTATAACAGTTTTAATACTAGATCAAGCATAAGGTAATGATTTTTAAATCTATTTGCATAGTAAATAAAAAGAATGTATGCATAAATAATTGAATTTAAAAACAACACAAAAACAGAGCATTAGCTGTTGAGATATTAAATTAAATTAATTGATAATGATTGAAGTAGTCTGGAGTGCCTCACCAAACTCAAAGACAAATCCAAGAGGTACTCCTCTGTCTCAGTGTGGCGGGTTAGTTTAGACGAGGTTAAATATTTGAGATGGGTCAGGCAGAGGTCAAGTATCAAACAGGCTGGGCTGTCATAAACATTCTGCTTCCCCTTTCCTAAAGGCCAGGTGGACAATCTGGCAGATGCTCTGATGACATCAAAATGGGGTCGGAGGTCAGAGATTACATGCTTTTTGATGACTGTGGTCAATGTATTAGTCAGAAGCTTCTGGAAATCTTGGTCTATGCATGTGGGGAATTGAAGTAAAGAGAAATTTAATAAAGAGGCACTAAGAGCCATTATGACTATACCAAAATAATATAATAATTTATGGTGTATGATTTAATCATAATTCTTATTAATAAGGCATCAACTTGAAATGACTTTTTTGTTTTTCTTAGTCTTTTAATAATACATTTTAAATTTTATATTATAGTAAAATAATGTAAATTTCTTATAATTTAAGTAGTATATAAATATTACTTAAATTGTTTTTATCCTATAGTTCACAGACCTGAGTCTCCTAAATTTAGTGAAAACAGCTTCAACACTTTCAGTAACTTGTCATCAAAGTTTTCTATATTGCTCTTTAAAACAACAGCAAGAGAAGCTTTAAGTGCTTCCACTGTTTGTGGGCTACCACCTATAGAAGAAACAAAAGTTTATGTTACTTTATTATCAAATTTGTTTGAAAACAAAACAAATGTGAATACATTTTATAATAACAATAAAATAGGAGTTTAAAAAACTAATGAACTGAAATAGAAGAGTGAAGATTCAACTAAAAATCTTCACAATATTGACTGCAATTTTAATGTTGGTAATTTTCTTTTCTAATCTGTTCAAAAACTCAAAATGTGAAAAAAAAATCCACTAGCATAGAAAGATAATTAAAGGATAATGGCCTATTTATTCTGATATATGATAAAAGCTTAATATTTATGTATATTTTATCAAATATGAACCTGACTTTAACGACAATGTAAGGGGTTGAGCATAAATGACAGTTAAGTTATTTGGGCAGATTTTTACAGCCCCCCCCTCCAACACAAAACACCCGAACATCCCTAACATGTCACAAATTTTATTCACCCTTCCCCTAAAAAATGAGCGTAAATCAATGTAACTTAGCAGGTTCTTCATCATTATTCTTCTTATGATACTTAAAATACATGGAATAAATTTACATTCCTATCCCCCCCCCCCCCTTCCTAATTCTTAGCTCTAAGTGTGTGATGTTGTGGAAAACTCCTATACCTAATTTTACTCATTATAAACACATGTAAACAAATAACTGTGAAAGTATGAACCAAGCAGAAACTCACACTGAAATGTATTAGATGCCTCTAGGTAAGAGATGATTATCTCCCATCTTGTAGTCTTCACAGCTTTGTCTGCCCTTTTCATCAGCCACTGGTCACACAGCAGATAACTCTCTTTCATGTGTTGGACCAGTGTGGTGACCACCTGCTCCTCAAGTGAACCTTTCTCAATCTTCAACGGAGTTTTAAACATCTCGGCAAATACTGTAGGGTTAAACACGCTAACTGCTTGTGGTATGTGTTCAAACCAAAATATCACAAACTGGAGGAGTTTGGGGTGTTTACAGTAAGGGAGGAGTTCAAAAAAGGGGGCAAGGATGGAAATTTTCTGTTGAGTAGTGTCTTCAAAACAAAACTTTGTTTTGATTTTGATGTGTTTTTTTTCAAGACCAAATTGAGGGTCGTTTCCAGCTTTCTCTGAAGTTGGTTCTGGTTTCTGTTTTAGCTGGTGGAAGAAGGAGGTTTGACTGAAGGCTGGGCTGTCTTTTACAAGAAGTGTCCAATGCTCAAGCAGGCGAAACAGAAGCTTGCAGACAGGCGTCTCTTTGTGTTGCTCAGGATCTGATGATTCCGATTTAACAAAAGCTGACAGTGGAAGATTTGAGAGTTTGGCCAAACAACTTGACAAGCTGACTATATCTAACAGTGGGTAGAGAGTCTTAATAACATCAAGACACAACTTTCTCTGCTCGTTTGATAATGGAGACGCTGTATTAGAAAACTGGTCCAAAACTTGGAAGACAAAATCGTCAATGATATCCTTCCTATTTCTAAACCAAGCCCAGTTACTGCACATTTTTAAGACGTTGCAAAAGAACGACAAAATTGAGCAGGTGTTGAAATCCTCTAGACCCACACTGTTTCTTTTTTTGAGAGTTTTTTTCTTGACGCTAACAACAAACATCTGTGATTTTAGAACAGGATTTTTCAGGAGACTGACGACAGCATTGATGGCGTTGTTTTCCAGTGAACTCATGCAAGAAAACATCTCAGAGAAAACCTCGCTCGTCCGAAGAGTGTCTTTACCTTCAGTCGCTGATGACGCTAGGTCATCACCCTGACTGGTCTGTTGATCAGTTTCCATGGTAACAACACTGTCCGAGTTCCACTTCTCTTCAGCAGAAACAGCCTCAAGTAGCACCTCTGCTAAATCTGTGTACACCTGAAGCCTTTTTAATTTTGTTTCCTGAATTTTAAAAGAAACAACATTTTTTAAACAATATTGATCTATTCTTACATACAAGGTAGGATACATTTTTATTTAAATGTGGCTCTACATATTAGCAAAACTTGAAGGGAATGGTGTGGCCTAGCAATATAGTGCTAGACTGCTAACCTAAAAGTCTCGAGTTTGAATCTGGGTTCGTCTACCCAGCACTGATCTCTGATGGGTACCTAACTCATGTTAGGGAAAGTAAAGGCGGTTGGGCATAATCCTAACCAAGCTATCAGTTTATATGCCAAATTCACAGAAGTAAGTGAACTCCATTTTACTTGCCCTATGGGCTGTCAGGTTTGAAATGGGAACTTTAACATATTCGCAACAAGTGCAACATAATCTAGATATTCTTAAAATATAATCTCCATATGATGTCAATTTTTATTCACAGTACAATAATAAATATAAAAACAAAAGTTAAGTTTTAAATTTTTTTTTTCATTAAACAATATAACAATGGACAATATAATCTCCATTTAAAAATATTAATGAGTGCTAATTTGTATACCTTATCATTGGAAACAGCTGTGAATCCTATATAAAGAGTCAACTGGCCGAGACTCATGATTTTATCATCAAGAGTCATTGCACTGACTTTAGGCTTCAAACGTTTAACAACATTTTCTGCGCTAGCTTCAGGTGACCAATCTTCTGTAAGTTGACTGGACAAGGGCCCAAATAGCTTTGGTGGTAGCACTGGTAGGTCCTTCATCTGTGGCTGGTAAGATAATGGGTACATGGTGAGACAATGGGTAAATGGTGAGACAATGGGTACAAGGTGAGACAATGGCTAAATGGTGAGACACTTGGTAAATTATGAGGCAGTGGGTAAATAGTGATACAATGGCTAAATAGTGAGAATGGGTTAAAGGTGATACAATGGCTAAATTGTGAAACAATGGGTAAATGGTGATACATTGGCAAAATGGTAAGACAATGAGTATATGGTGAGGCAGTGGCTAAATGTTGAGATGGGTTAAATGTTGAGATGGGTTAAATGGTGAGATGGGTTAAATGGTGAGATGGGTTAAATGGTGAGATGGGTTAAATGTTGAGATGGGTTAAATGGTGAGATGGGTTAAATGGTGAGATGGGTTAAATGGTGAGATGGGTTAAATGTTGAGATGGGTTAAATGGTGAGATGGGTTAAATGTTGAGATGGGTTAAATGGTGAGATGGGTTAAATGGTGAGATGGGTTAAATGGTGAGATGGGTTAAATGGTGAGATGGGTTAAATGGTGAGATGGGTTAAATGGTGAGATGGGTTAAATGGTGAGATGGGTTAAATGGTGAGATGGGTTAAATGGTGAGATGGGTTAAATGGTGAGATGGGTTAAATGGTGAGATGGGTTAAATGGTGAGATGGGTTAAATGGTGAGATGGGTTAAATGGTGAGATGGGTTAAATGGTGAGATGGGTTAAATGGTGAGATGGGTTAAATGGTGAGACAATGGGTGTCATGGTTAGACAATATGGTGAAGATAACATGGTGAGCCAGTGGATGATGAGGTGAGATAATGGATAATGTGGAAAAATTGAAGTCATATGACAATGGAAAAAGTAGTGAGATGATGTGGCTATGGGTGATGAAATATGATGTGGTGTAATGGATGATGTCAGATGTAAGATAATGGATGATGTTCTAAGATAATATGGAAAGACAATGCATGATATAGCTAGTCAAATGTACTTAGACATAATTTAAAAACAGAAAAAAATATTTTTATTTTTTTATTTTTAATGATGATGATCTGTTTCATAACACAAAGCCTTACCATTTTAGAACTCCAAAACTCAAGATACTCTCTAACCCCTTTAAATAACTTTGCTGGGCTCTTTGTCACACAGCTGGCCAGATAATTGGTGGAATGTAATGAGTGAACCAGACATACGAGAACCTTACTGGCATACTTGGTCACTACAGCATCATCTAAAAGCAGAAACAAAACTTATATGAATCAAAAATGTTTAATGACTTTAATAATTTTATTCTTTATAAATGTAAATATCACTAAAAATTACTTTTTGTCTAAAAACTGCTGTTCAAAAGTACTATGTATATTAATAGGGCAAACAAAATTTACAATAAAAATAAAAAATACATTAACAAATTTCTGCTTTCAATTATTTGAAGCTCAAGATAGCAGGTACACTGACAAAACTAAGAATCATCCTCTAAACTTATGTCACAGAAAAAGCACTGATGTGCCCAGTGACCCAAAAGATGCGCACCGGACAAATGCGAAAAAAAAAGTGCAAAGTGTTTCCTTATATTACTAGACATTAAAAAAGAGAGACTATAATTATGTACATTGCAGCATAAAAAAACATATTTCCATGAAATAAGGCTAAATTAAAGTGTATCAGTATAATATTCGTTTGTATTTGCGCCTTTTTCAAATAGCGCAGTTTTTCGATTGTGCATTTTTCTAGGAACTGATGTGCCCAAGCCAGATTTAGCATGTGCGGGGCCCTGGACAATATTTATGTGAGATCCCTTTACCAACTACATCAGTGGACTGCATATTTTGGTTCAAGGGCCCTATACTGTGGTTGGGTCAGCCTTGAACCACATGAAATTGTCCACAGAAAAAACAAAATAAAAGATATTACAAAATATTTTATTTATTCCTTTTAGCTAGTTACCAGTTTTAGAGTGCTGCAGACTGTCTAATGCCACCAGTGACAAGGGAGTTAAGGGAAGACTTAGAGACTGCTGCTGTGACTCGGATGGTTTGTAGTTCTCCAGCATTTGGTCAATCTCTGCATCGTCCATCAGAAGTATTGCTGCAAGAGACCATGCAACATAAAATACAATGCAGCTAAAGAATTGCTACAACATGGAAATAACACAAATAGTTATGCAGTGAAGTATAGCTACAAACTTTCATGCAACATGAATGGATTGTACATGCTGGAAAAGAATGACTACACAAAAAATATTTTTGTTAAGAAAGCCAACATTTCTATAAAACCAGCCTAAAAGTGATACTTGCAGAAAGAAAGCTTTGACTATACACAGTATTTCACTGATTTATTATTACGTTAAAATATTTTCTTTTCTGCGCAAGGTAATGTCAGTCCTTAACTTTCTTAATTAATTTGTGTGAAACTTAATCAAATTAATAGCTAATGAAAAACACTGTTTTAGTAAATGTATTCTCTTATTTACTGTTACGTCAAATGTTCTGAACAAAACAAATCCATTAAACACAAGTAAACCATATAAACACTCACTATAAACAGCACTATCACAAAAATATATATCAACTTTAACAGTTGAACCATATGACCACTCACCATCAATAGCACTTTCACAGATAATCCAAACAACCACTCAATATCAATAACACTTTCACAGATAATCCAAACAACCACTCACCATCAATACCACTTTCACAGATAATCCAAACAACCACTCAATATCAATAGCACTTTCACAGATAATCCAAACAACCACTCACCATCAATACCACTTTCACAGATAATCCAAACAACCACTCACCATCAATAGCACTTTCACTAGTTCCAACACTAATAGTTTCCATGTCCACATCATCCTGTAGATCCGAACCCCCTGAGTCTGCAACTATCTCCATCATCCTATCCACATACGGGGTTGGGTTGTTGATCAGGCTGGCCAGGCATCGGGCAAGAAAAACAATCCTGGAATGGTGAAAAGTTTCCGCGGACGAGCCCTGGTCTCTCAGCGCCTCCTTTAACCATATCTCCAGCTCCTTGCTGTGGCCTGTGAATACCTCAATGTTCTTCAGCATCTGGAGAGTAAACATAAAAATAAAATGAAATCTTTATCACTCTGGCTTGAGAACATTTAAATTCTTCATCTTCTAGACAATAAACATCGTGAAATTTTTATCTTCACATCTGGGTAATTAGAAAAATGATAAAATTTTTATTCCTGTTATCCAATATGATCATTATCTATCGTAGGATAAAATTCACTTGTAATTATCAGTAGTCTAATTTATGCACATTCTGTTATCACTAAAATTTCCAAGATCAAGAAATTACTATAATTTAAATAGTTCACAACAAATGTATTGGCCTGTTATAATTCTCAAATGATTCAAAAAAAATTTCAAATTTTTCCAAAAATAAAAATATCTGTAAGTCAAAAGCTGAAAATCAAACAAACCAGCACAAAAAAAAATTATTTTTAAGTTCAATATTTAAATGTTTTACAAGGAAAATTAAAAAACTATTTTTTTAATTTATTTATTTTTAAAGTTCAATTTTCAAAACATAACAAGATACTAACCTTACAAATAAGACCAATATTTAAATCTTTGTAGATCCCGCTCTGACTGGCAGATACCAACAACTTCTCTAGGAGACCCTTTGTACAGAAAGAAGTTCACATTATCAATAGCATTGTTAAGGTATATTGGAAATACTTATTTTTAACTTTCCTATTTTTTCCATTACATTTTAAACATAACAAACTTGTTACAAATATATTAATGGCTATTATAATTCATCAAACATTCCCGTTAAGTGTATATATGCACATACATAGAAATAATCAAAACAAGGGACATAATAAATTGATATGAATAGCCTTACCTCCCTTCCCAAGGCAATTTTTCTTGTATCTGTTTCAGAAAGCAGTTTTATTAAGTACAACTGAGGCAGCTGCATGTTTTTAACTTCTTCATTTTCCTCATCATCTTCATCACTTTCTTCATCTGCGTCTTTATCTTTTGTTTTTAATGAATCATTTTTTTTGTTCAGGTTGCCGACCATTTCAATTAATTTTGCAAGGTCTTTGGGTCGTTCTGATATAAGTGAGGGAGACAGAGTTTGGTAGAGGATCAGGACTTGAAGCAAGGCTACCACATGCTTCGAAACATCTGAGAGATTAGAATCATGGGTTCTTTAAGATAGCATAGATAACAACAACAAAAATTTGGTATTCTTATTTGAAACTGCATTAAACTATGATACAATATAGTGAAAAATACATTTTAAAATTGTAAAAGACAAAAAAATATGTATCAATTAAATAGAATTAGTAACATAATTAACGACTTAATATCTTTTCATTAATAGATTTTTAATATTTTGGTTGAAATTGTGAAACGAATGCATACTTAAATTTATAGCCTTATCTCCCTTTGACAGCAAAAGCATGAATTTATCCAGAGAAGTAAATACAAGACTAATGGGAGGTAATGTCTGTAGAACAGGAAAAAATATATATGAGTTATTATTATTTATTTTAAATATCTATTAAACATTGGGCAACATAGTAAAATTAAAAAAAGCATTTAATATAAAACTCAACTAACAGACATCATAGAATGGAGGGAAAAGTAAAATCTCAAAATATTAACCAGCCCTTTCAGTATTTAATTTTAAACAAAAAAGCAATCTGTACCTTTAAAACAGTGGCAGTAAATTCGTCCACAGTGCTCTCCCTTGTAAGATCAGCTTTCATGAACTCTTTTTGAACAAGGACTGCCTTCTTAGCCAAAACTTTCAATAGTTCTAAAACTTGATGTCTCACGCGCAAGTCATCATGCTGGAGATAATATAATTAATTGGTCTAATAGGGGAAAAATCAATATTTCAAGTATATAAATTAATTACGGTCATGTTTTGTTTATTTTCTATTTATCTACTTATAAAGATAACTATTGTAGCTTGCAATTATGCAAAATGGAGATTACTATCAAACTATGTGAAATAATTAGTTTTAAGATAAACATACTGCAACTTTTAAATAATATTTCACAACAATTAATCTTTTTTTATAACTTTTTGAAAAATAGCAAAAAAATTCAATTCGAATCGCTAATAATTTTACCTTTAAACCTTGCGTAAGTAAGAGGGCAATTTTAGGAGGGGGTAAACAAAACACTGTTGCCAAGGTAATGTTGATTTTGACATTTCTTGGCTCTTTTTCACGTGAGGAGAGATATACTGGTAGTTCTGGTAGGCTACTGTACAACTATAGGGAGAATAAAAATATAACGGCTCAAAAAAATGTAATTAATTTAAAACTATAACAAATGAGATTACATACATATATCTATTCTTATTTATTTTAATCTTTTTAAAATTTTCTGTGTTCAACAACAGGTTAAGAGAAAGCAATTATGTTAATGAAACAGCCTTTCTCTAGTAAACTCAATTGTTATCTGAAATATGTCTGATTTAAAAAATTTATTTTTTAAGAAAATAGATACCTGAAGCACACATTTTTATAATTTTATATACTATATGCTTCATTTCATTTTAAGCAGAAAGTATCCTTTTACATAATAAACATATGTATACACAATCAACTACAAACCAATGTTTAAGAGATTGTTTAGGCTATCATTTTATGTAACCCAAAAATTCAACCTATAACAAAAGTTAAAAAGCCAACCCTTCTGACAAGATACAAATAACTCTTACGCTTGTGACCCACTCCATCAAGGTTCTCCACTTGTCTGACCATCTGGGGGTCAGTGATGGACCCAGGGTGGTCAGAACTGATTTAATCTGATCTGGACATGCACAAAGAATCTTCTTAGCCAGCTGAAAGCTGTGAGGGTCATCAGTTCTCTTGACCAGCCACTCCAGTAAATGGCACAGGAGTTGATTCTGGTTCCTGGTGAATTAAAATTCAATACCTTAATTATAACACAACAAAATATTAACATTGTCTTAATGAAATATTAAGATGTACTGCAAAAAGATACCGTCTTTCCTAACTTTTCTCAACTGACTACCAATATCATAACTTGACACTGAACCCACAGGACCAAAAAAAGATTCCAAATTCTGTTTAACTAAAAGTACTATAAAAATCTGGCATAGCACTTATAACTAGCTTAACTTATAACTAACTTAACCTTTAACTAACTAAACAAAACACAATATTTGCACCTCTTACCACACTGAACATACTATATAAAACATCTGTCACAAGCTTACTTTAATCACATAATTTGCATTAAATGTACTGCTCTAACCTACCTAGTTCCTGTGCCCAGCAGTTTGTCATTAAAGTTGATCCCATGTTTATAAGAACAACATAAATCATTAAGAAAATCCTGAGCAACACTAGCTACCATTTCCCTATCTTGAGCAACAGACTCGTCTGAAACTTCTGGCTGAAAATTATAAAAACTCATTAATTCTTGCCACAACTTGTTATATTCATGATTAGATTAGTTTGTTGCGACTAACATTTTCTGAATAAAAAAAATTTTAAACTCCAAAATAAAATATCAATTTCACAACTGTTATTATTTCAAGAAAAGATAGAATTTTATTCTTCTGCAAAAACAAAACAAACAATGAAAATCATCCTTTTATATAGTATTACCTGTCCATCATCCTTGTCTTTTTTTTTCTTCCCAGTGGCCAACCATCCTGTGGGACCAACCCAGTGGAACAGCTCACACAGGTGCTTCAAGCACACCTCAGAAAACAGCTTGATTTTATCTGTCTTAGTCACACCTGGGCATCTCACCACCTGCAATCAATGGTTAGAAAAGTTCCTTATTTACCAGGTAAGATCAAGCTTACCTTTTTAAACCAGACTTCACATCACCTACAATCAATGGTTAGAAAAGTTCAGTTCATTATTTACCAAGTACGATCAAGCTAGTTACCTTTTTAGACAAGACCTCACATTACCTACAAGCAACGGTTAGAAAAGTCCATTATTTACCAGGTAGCATTAAGCTAAGTACCTTTTGAGACCTGACTTCACATCACCCACTATCAATGACTAGGAAAGTAATTAACCAGTTAAGGAAGGATCAAGTTACATAACCTCCTGACATGAAAGGTCCTTGGGCTACTGAACATGAGTTAATGTGTATCTTTGAACTGGCATGAAGCAATCATGTAGTCAACACATACACATAAAAGTTGATTATTCAAAGGAACTTTTACTTTCGTCAAAGGTGCTTTTACTAACCCAAACAGATTCGGGCACCCATCAGAGACCAAGGCTATGCCTGTGGACTACAGCTTTGTATTGAACACCAGCCTAAAGTGTAGGCCTGTTATCTAGAGAGCACCAATGATGGAACAGTAGCATATGATACTTACTTTGTCCATCAGTGTAGCCAATGTATCCACAACCATCTCTCTTGAGTCATACTTTAACCCTGCTATTGTCATTTGAAGGAAAGCTGAAACATTCACAAAAAAGGATCACAAATTTAAGTAAACTGTGCACGTCTTTAAAACACCTATTTATTAGGTTATATTAATCTTAATTTTAAAGCGAAATATATATTGCAGTACTGAGCTTTGTAGTATGTGCCAAACTTTTTAAAAATAAAAATGTTTTATTAAGTAACCTTGTAACCCTAACTTTAAATTGCGACTTAAAATCACAAGAAAAAATGGGAGAAAACTTACTTTTTTGTTGCACAATGGTGTTGACCACACTATGGTCACTGTCCAGCAGGAATGCCAAGGTTAAAAGAACAATACAGCTACGGACATCTTGGGTGTCCTACAGGTGAAAATATATAGAAAACTGTCCAATATGCATCACATCACTTGAAAGCTGAATTATCTCCCCTACTATTATATAAAAATATTAGTTAAACTGGATGTTAGTTTTTTGTTTTAATTAGTATCACCAACAAGAAACAAAACAAACCTTCCTATTCCTTCTTCTGAATAAAGATGGGAAGTTAACATGGCCGAAGTTCAGTCTAGCTAAAACTGCCTTTTTCGACTTCTCACTCAACATGATCATAGCTATGAGAAGCTGTAAGGCTGACTTAATTATTTTTGATCTGGTGAACATAGTATTTTAAGCAACTGAATTTTGGATCGTTTTAAAGATAGACTGTTCATTTAAATATTACTGTATATGAACTTAAACTACATTAACATGGACTATTGCATCCATTTTCTATGGTGCAAAAGTCAAATTTGAGTGTAAATGCAAATATATTGTCGTTTGATGGATACTTGATTTAAACATATTCAAACATATAGGCCTACTAGTTTTATTTTCAATTTATCAGTTCAGAATGAGACAGTTACATACTTATTTTGATCTCTGAGACAAGTGTAGACCTGCCCCATATGTGCAGCTAAAATTTTCTGTACAATGGCTTCACCAGTGGAGGATAACTTGGACAAATCTGTTCGTATTCTCGTCAGGATCTTTTCTAAGCACTGCAACACTAAAGATATCTGAAAGAAAGGAGTTTTAACCCAATTCTGTTAACATGGATAGTTCAAAGTAATTCTGTAACATAAATGAGCATATTATTATTCAATCTATTTATTCTACTTTTACTCAGAAGTGTAGAAGGTAAATCTTTACATCATTTGTCTTTAAACTGGTGCTTGTTGGGTCAATTAGTGTCCAAATTTCAGCACATGAAGGTGAACTTCGACAATAGCCTAAAACTATATCGTGGCAAGGCACGCCATCGTCAAAGGCCTCTGCTGAGTGGATGAATTTCTCAAGAGCTGTAAACATAGATATGGGGTTAGAATATAATTAGCTTCAACATTTACTTTTATACCACTTTCTATTTAAGTTTGGTAACTTTCGTTAATCCAGAAATGTTTAAGGTTATTCAAATAATTGTATAAACCTCTGCATTGCATTAAATCTATATTGATAGCATCCATTGCATTAATTTTAAAATTGAAAGATAAATCATGCTCATACTGCTTGTGTTGGGTAAAGACTGTGTAGCCGAGGATCACTTAAAAACTAATCAACCAATGGTATAATATTCAAGTTAGAATAATATTAAGTTATTCATTAATCATGAGTACAGTCTGTGAATCTGTCCCACTTTGCTTTTTTTGTCAAATTGATTAAAACTATTATTTGGAGCTTGAGTTAGGTTAATTAATCATATTACTAGTTACATGTGTCACAGTATTACTATTAAGATATATTGATTGTATAGATTATATAGATATATGCTGACTTTTACTTTCATACAACCATATTGAGACGTTTTAAAAATGTAACAACCATGAGCTTTGCAGACTCGACCACACCGACCCTATTAATTTGAGCCCATTGCACAACTATTAAAAAGTAGTAGAGTAAAGTTCCGCGTGTGGTCACACATAGCGGAAAATTCCAAACTCCCGATTTTCATCGGGCGCTATTTTGTAACCGTTTCACACAGAAACAAACCGAAAGTACTTTATTACTCCACTGCCATTCTACTCTAATATGCATGAGTTATTTTGTATTCATACGCATAGTATTTGAGATATTCATGTTTTAGTGACGAACCTCCTTGTGATCTACTTTTCCCCCCCTTTTTTTTGCCTGTGGTCACCTGTCCCTGCTTGTGATCACTAGCGTATTTTTTACGTTTTGATCCAATTTTAATAATTGAAATAAACATTTTACTCATTTAAACGTGTTGATGATTGTATAATTAATTAATAGATTTGCAAAACCAAATAATAACACGTTAATTAAATTTATTAACTTCAAATTACGGATGACCCAGTGATGACTCAAGGGACGCAACTATTATAATCATAACAAAGGGACGTAACAATCACTAACAAGACAAAACGTAACATTTGCTTAGATTGTATTGTATGTAGAGACACAAACTAGATTTAGAAGAAGTAGATGATTAAAATAATTTAAAACAACAGAAAAAAATAGAAATTATATAGGTTCTAGACTTAGCTTGAAATATAGAGTATCTAGATCTAGGCTAGTCTAGCTCAAGTCATTGGTGACCACAGCGAGGGTAAAACACAAAAATCGTTACCCCAGCTGTGATCACCCCCATTTCACCACTAAGATTCTTTTAATAGCCTTAACTACAGTATTTTCAGTGTCCCGCACATAAATAGAAGCTATTTATAGTTAACCTAGTTATAAAAAGCTTTGATTGGTTTGTTTTATTCATCTCATCTGGGACCTAGTGCTTTTCATACGGGGGAACTAGAATCGCCTACGACGTCATACCTCGAAACTTGAAAATTTAAAAACTCGTCTTTCAGAAGGAGGGAAACAAAAGAATTTGACCTGGATATATTTAGAAATGGACATGTTTACAGCAGATATTGGTAGTTTCGAAGCCATAAACAGGAATGTGACTACACCGTGGTTTTGACCACACGCGGAACTTTACTATAGATCTAAATAAGGGTAATCTATCGTTTTGGGTATGTAAAATCGCCCGCGACTTGTAATGTGAAAACCAGGTGACTCCTTAAATTTTAATAATTATTTCACATTTTGAGGAGGATTTATATTTTTTAAAATACAAAAATGTTTCCTTGTTTCATTTATGTACCTGTTTTTAAAGAATTGAATTAAAACTTTTCAGTAATAAATGAAGACTATCGATTTTTCCAACAGATGCAACCATGCTCATTTAGTATTTACTATAGCAGCCATCTTGTTTAAGTTTTAGTTTTATAAACTTATAGCGAAAGATTCAGGGGGAAGCCACTCTATTTTACAAATGGCTGCTGTTTATAATTATATAGCAAATCTTGCTCTCAGACACTGCTGTTTAAAGTTAATTTCTGGCCTATATCGATATATATAATATATTTAGCCATTGATTTAGGTTTATTATTCATTTATCTATATTTGACACAAACATATGACAATATACTTCTATTAAAGCCTTGACAATGAGGTAACGTTTTCGTACATTAATAGCCGCGGGCGATTTTACGTACCCAAAACGATAGATTACCTAAATAAGTCTAGTAGTAGGCATAGCAATTCCCATCTTCTACCCGCCACACAAGCACTATGGGGGGGGGGGGGGGCTTCTTCAGAGTACTCACTTATATATTACTTTAGGAAGTAGATCTAGATCTAGAATCTAGATATCTCTCTAGAATCTAGATCCTAAAATTTTAAAAATTACAACAACAACAATGTTACAACAAAATTAAGTTTTTTTTAGTTGTACCTTCATTAACTGTACTGGGGTCACGTAATAAAAACTTAAACTCCACTTCAGTAATGGTCGCTTTCGGCTTATCGTCATCTTTGACTTTCTTTGCGTCTAGATCAATATCAGAATCGTTCTCAGAATCATCTGAGTGTGGTCGTTTTTTAGCTAATTTCTGTGGTGCCATTTTCTTTAGAAACGATTTCTCCTTTCGTTTTCGATTCCAAAATACCCATGCGTTTCCGGTTATAGTCTCGAATAAAAAAAATAAAATCTAGATCTAGGTCCACTCGTTAGAATACATAAATATAAATCTAGAAATAGCCTAAAACTAAATTTTGTAAGCATTTGAATATTTTATGGAAACGCAAATATAAATGTTTATTTGATTGTAACTATATTTTACGTTGCTAACACCACAGCGTCTAAGCAACATTCTGACCGCCTCTCTAATGTTTCCGGTTTAGGTTTGTTGATATACTCCTTGTAATAAATATATATAATAAATTGACGTCTAATTTAAGTTTTAAAAGATTTATTGTATTGAATACTTATTATACTATTTATATTTAAGTAGATTCTATATTAATTTAATATTATTATAATAATATTAAGGTAAACGTAAGGTATATTACTTACTAACTTAAGAAGATAACTCAGAGATTCAGTGATTCAGACTCAGAGTTCAGAGACTCATGTCAGTCACTGAGTAGTGAGTAACTGTAGTATCGTTGTAGTGTACTCACTGTAACTGACCAGTAACTGTACTTTAAAAAAAAAATTAAAATATCACTGTATCTGTAACCTAGACATTAAAATTAATAAAATATTGTTGTATTCATGGGTTCTGTTCACCTTACTTATTCAGAATTGCCATTACTAGTAAAAAGTAGTATTGTAGTATTTTCAGTATTTTTACTTTGTATATAGATTCTACTATATATATATACTATTATATACAGAGAGTAGTGTAGTGTAGTGATTATTACTATTGTAATAATAATAACGTATTAGATTTAGATTATTTTAATAATATTTTAGATTGAAGTTAAAAAAATGTTAAAAGGTTACTTGATCAAAATCCAAAGTTAAGTCACTAACTTGAAGTTACTAATTACTAATTAAAATTGAAAAGCAATTTTTCATTTCATATTCAATCCCTTCAAAATTAAAATAATAAATAAAATATACTAACACTATTAATTTAATTATTTAATAGTTAGTTTATACTATTTTATAGCCTATAATAAATTAAATAAATAAATAAAATGTAATTTAATAAATCTCTGTAGACTTTCACTGTTTAGACTGAGAGTTACATCTCTAATCATGGATCATGAAGCTTGTGGTAAAAAGTGTGTAAAATGGCAAGATGTATCAGAATACACAGACAAATATTTAAAACCTTCCATGATACCTACAAAACCGGATCCGTATGTATTTTCTATTACATATTCTTTTAAGCTTACCAGTATAGTCCAAAATTGTAAATAGATTATAGGATTATAGGGGATTAAAGATATGTCTATAGATAAAGATGGATTAGTAACTTAACAATAAAACATTTTTTAGCACCGGCCATCTACTAACAGTGGAATAGAAATTTAACCTTTTATTCTAAACATGGGCGGTTGGGAGATTGGGGGGTTATTAGTATTAATGAGCGTGGTGGCTTTTGATTAGAATCTACTATAGCGTGTGTAATAACATTTTCCTAACTTTTAAGATGGAAGAATGCACCCACACTAAGGGAGATAGACATGCTCTCAGGAAGGCCTAGAACTCCCAATGATCCATACACAGTTCTTACTGACTTGCAGATAAAAAACTTGAAAAAGGTAAAACATGCTTTATTAGTCAAAGGCTGGTTTTAAGATATTAATCAATTATTAATTTTTGTTAAAACTATATATTTAGATCGTAAGTATTATTTTGTAGCTTTGATTTTTACTAGTAATAAGATTAGTTTTGGAAAATATAGTCTTTTCTTTTTCTGATTGTTTCTTAGGATGCAACACCATTCTTCATGCTTGAAGATCCAAATGCTATGTCTGACAGAAATAAAGTGGTTTATCCAGCTCCCATGAAACGTTATGCTACAAACACAAGCCAGTATTTATTTCGTGACACACCACCTCGTTCCCACCCGCACTGTTGGATAGATGAACAGTGGCAGAGAGACCCCCCAGAAGATCACAACACATGTCGTCTTGGTGCTTCATTACGATGGGGACCATCAAAAACAGGTAAGTTGTTTTATTTGAAAGGCTGGCAAATACTAGATCTAAGAAAATATTTCAATTAAAGCCTCACGATAAGATCATAAATAAAATATTCTTTAAGAAGTCATTACTGAACGCAATTTAAACAAAAAAATTTTCAATACATTTTGACTATTCATTCTTAGAAATTGTTTATCAGCATCAATACTATTTTCTTACTCTCACTGTCAGCTTACCCAAAGAAGTTATTAAATTTACAAAATTAATGGTCAGCTGTGTTGAGCAAATTTGTAACACTTCAATGCAAATTATATATTAGTGAATGGATCAAACATTTTTTATAAAGGTGAAAGAACTATCAGTCATTTTCAAAATGAGGATGTTCATAGGTACCTAAACATTGATGTATACAAAAGGCCCCCTACAAATCTGCCCTCCATTGTTGTTATGAAGCATGGAAGACCTGGCCAGGGATATTATGATCAGAGAAATCCAAGTAAGATCAATACAATCAATTATATGAATACAAAGCAGATTGAATCTCAAGAAAAAAAACTATGGTTGGTAGATGTAAAGTGATAGTGATTGTTGGAATTATGACGTTTGCAAAAAAATTTAAACTCATAAAATGTTTTTAACTTCTGTATTCATTTACTGATCTCTAGACTTCAACACCTGGTTTGGCTCCACTCATCGACTCAATGATACAGCTATTCTAACTAACATCAGGTCAAAAACCTTTGCTGATTATGATCAGCTGAAATCAATGGAGCAGGCATACCAGAAGCACCAAGCTTCCAAATGGCCTGAAGTTTCAGAATACACCGACAAGTATTTGCTGCGAAGCAGGCCTGAAATTGTATTTGATTTGTGAGTATACTTAGTATAATAGATTTTCATACCTTTACTAAACACATTTCAAGTAGTTACAGCTATACATTTATAATTTTGTTTATAACGGTTTCTTTCTTTTTCTTTGAAGAATGGAACATAGAAAAGAATTCCACAGAAAGCAGAGGCTTGAAGAAGCAAATGAGAAACTACAGGCAGAAATTGTAGCAGGCGATGTAGATCAGTCACTTAGACCTCAGCCCGCCGTAGTGTGATACCCCTAGTTACTTCAAACATGCATATATTTGTGACTATGTTGCTAAAACTAATATTTGTAAGAAGAATACCTCCTGTTTATCCTGCAGTATTTTTTAGTAGTATTTGATTATTTTAAATATTCATATTAGCTAGAAATTATTTAACATTTATAGTTTTGTTGTAAGAGGCATACCAGAAACTAAACAAAATATGAAGTTAAAATTTATTTATCCTCACTATTAAACTAAATTATATATAACAATGTCTCTTAATTTGAAAAAAAATTCCCCACAAAGAACAAGATAGCCATATATGTTTAGTAGTTTTTTTTTTAATTAAACAGTATACTTAATTTTTTTAAAACTTAAGTTTTTAAACAAAAAACAAGTTAGTCAATCTTTCTTTTTTTTTAAAATGATAAAAAAAATGTTATCAAAAGAATTTAAATGTGAGATATTGAATAATAATATGTATGTTATTTAACAAGTCCTATATATGAAAAAAGTATTATTTCTATATAAACTTAAAATTTAATTTACATGTGTTTGACTTAAAAACAAAAGTTGGTTGATTTTTTTTACATGAGTCCATTTACAAAATATGTAAAGCTGTTGATAACTGAACAGTAAAAAAAAATGATTTTAGTAATTTTACATATATTTTTAGGAAATAGATTAACTTTTTAAAAATGTACAAACAAAGAACTGCCAAAAAATTATTTGTATTAATTTATTGGCAATGTCTAAACATAAAATTCGTAAATAAAGCTTTATAAAATAATCAAACACTTTTTTTTCTGATATTTCTTCCTCTTTATTTACACTGTATATACATAGCTTAAAGACTTTCTTTAAAGAATTTGACAGGATTTCCTTCGCTTTATTATTACATTACTTTTTCTCAAATTAAAATAACTTCAAAAATGTCTGAATAGACATATCTATCATTAATTTAAATAGTAAGTACATTAGCAACATTTTAAATTGATCTAAAAACTAGTATAATGTACATCAATCAAAATAAATGTCATGCTTCTGCGTAAAGCATTTAAGATTGTACAGAAACTACAACATTAAAAGCTTAAAAAGCCATAAAAAATGCTACTGATACTTGTTTAAGAAACAGGAAATGTAAGTGAAATACTTAGGTGTTGAAGAATAAGCAGTTATGTTTCAGATTTCAACCAATTTTACCAAATAAACAATACCTTAAAATCTTATATAGTATATGCATTCGCACATATTAAAACTTATTATACAACAGATCTTATAATTTAATAATAAAACTCCATTTTTAAAATAATTAACATTTGAAAATATAGTACTTCAATAAGACAAAATTATGTATTTTTAGTAATACTTTCTAGTGACATTCAAATAAAAAAACAAGTAATATACATATTGTTACTCATGCTCACTGAAATTTCCAAATCATTTGTTCTCTTTCACATTTTCAACCCTTGGGATGAATTGTTCATTAGTATATATCATCAATTATGCCAAGTAATCACACAGACTTTCCAATCAAATGTCACACTGATTTTTAACTTACTAATTACATGAATCAATTAATTCATTAACAACAGAAATTGTTAAACATCCAACCAAACAATTACTTCCAACAAAACAAGTACTTTAAAGCTTCATTGTACAATTTCGCATTTTCACTGACACGCATTGCATTTCATCTACTCAAGATCACAGTAATGTTAAAATGACTCTTGGTAAAAATAGCATATTTACACAAAAGTATTTGTTTAGGATAAAAATTTCAATTAGAAAATGCAGTTAAATATCCATAATCAACCAAACTATCTTTCTGCTTCTTGTAAATATATTTCAAGTTACAAAACTGAAGTCTGCAAGCAGGTATTACAGTACAGACACTTTAATAAATCACTACAGTTATTTAAAATCAAAAGCCCCAAACTTAAATGGATAACAAATTTGTAAATTGACTTGCTAAAGAAATCTTAAAAACCTGTACAAAGTTCTAACACAATCTAAGAGGCTTTCTAAAACAAGTGCTTTTAAAATCTTACCGGCATATAAGTGTAAATTTAATAGAAAGTTTTTAGACCAGTATGAATAATATCATTTAAAAACAACAAGCAACATTGTTATTATTTATCAATGCCTAAAATTTGAACACAATCAAACCAGAGTTGGAGATGAATTTATTTCTTTTTCCTCTCTTCTTGACATCTTGGACAATACCATTTTCCTTTAGGTTTGGTCTTCAGTTGAACACAGGCAAAGTGAAACCACTCTATTGGACACTGAAAAAAATAGTTGAAAAAGTACTTTTTAAATGTACAAAGGTCTTTCAGTAAGAATACTTCTTGAATTATAGAAGGACCAAAAATAAGATTATTATGTATTATGATTATGAGAAGCAATGGCTGCTGGGCTAAAGTAAAGAGAGTTGCCCAAAACAGTGTGGTGTAGAGGTATAGAAGTAGATGCTACCTTTAGCTCCACAGGGGCTTCAAAGGAATAACTGACTAAATATTACTTACACAAAGCTCTAGGTATAAGACCTTACAAGAGGAAATGTTTGCACGATAACATAGAATAATGTATAAGATAAACATTTAATTTAACTATAATCTCAAACTATCAACAATAAAAAAAACTTGGACAATAATGCTATTACTATCAATTTTTTATCAAAATAAGAAAAGCTTAACTTCAAGCTACAAAATAGTAAGTCTTACATCTAGGTTATCACAACCAATCATTTCACCATATGACACTTGATTGCACAAACAGTATGTGGGTTCATTCGGATCTACTGGCATGTCTAAAACATCAGATGGATGAGTGGTCAAGGGGAATGGACTAATTGCTGCTATTTCAGTTTCTTCTCTGAGGACATAAATTGGCAGAGTAAAAATAAATAAAATCAGTACTAGTAAATTGTATAAGCAATATATAAATGTTAAAAAACAGTTTCATAATTTACACAGGAAGAAAATTATTAAAAACGTTAGTTGGTTATATATTAGCATTCACTTAAAATAATAGTTTTTGTACTTTTAGCTAAAGGAATAAAAAGGCTAAAAAACGGTTTAAGATAACTATATTTTTTTAAATTATTAGCAGTGGCCAAAGCATCCAAAAACTATTGTAATTTTTTTCTTAACTCAAATGTTTTTGTATATCTAGAGTTTGCATATATATGTTCTTAACAATGTTAAGTTAATCTAATGGAATAAAGCCTTAGTTTAGAAACCAAGGTAAAAATAAATATGCACTTAATCACTAACATAAATAGTCACAGCTACAAAACAGTATTATTTGTTATAGTGTGTAAAACATTACATACTCTGTCTGTGCCCCCTTTTTCTTTTTCTTCTTTGGAATTTCATCTTCAAACTCTTCTTTATTGCTCTTTCTTTTTTTCTTATCTTTTTCATTTTCTGGAAAAGATTGTATCACTTTTTTTTTTAAAAAAGCAATTACCCTGTCCGCTTACTGTTAAATATGCATTAACATAAGGATATTTTTCAGTAGTTTGCACAATACCTAAATTTTTTATTAAAATACAAATTACATCTGATAAAATAATTTTTTTGTGTTTTATCGATAATCCTGGTAACATAAGCTCCTGGTTAAATTATTTTATATAATAAACTTTAAAATATCCTTTGGTTTATGCATAATAGTATTTTGGAGAGATAAACAGCTTAAAAATTTAATTTAGCTCCTAACACTTAACCTAAATAAAAAATAAAATAAACATCAATCATTTAAGATCACATACTCTTTTTGCCTGCGGCTTTCCCTTCTGGCGATTCTTTTTTACGTCCAGAACTTTTATCTTTTAAATCTGCTTCAAACCTGGCTAGTTCAGCATCTAGTTTGCGTATATGTTTATCTACCTGTGTGTGAATAAAATGAAAAATCAGCAGGTTTTTAAAAATTAATTAAATCAATAATGGGAGAGATGATTTTTTTTAAAACAATGCTGAATGTCATTCCTCAGTATTGCTAAAGTATAATTTATGCTAAATGTTGCAGAATATTCAGACTCATATTTCTTAGTACTCAATACCTGTTAATACACAAATGGTTCTATAATATCCCAAATGTAATGCCCATAGTGTTTAATTTAAACAGCTATTTCAAATACCGTTTATCATCAAAGAGATTTTACACAGAAAATAAGCTAACCATTTCATAGGTCTGCATCGCTAATGACACTTTATCATCACCATACTCGCGACTTTTGGTAAACATGGACTCGATCTGGTTCAGCTGGTTTGTACGTTTTTCAGGGGACATGTGACGAACTTTATTCAGGTAATCAGTAGCTGCTTTGTCAATTTTTTTCATCAGGTCTGCAAACAGGAGTTTAAAAATTAGCATTCAGAAGCACAAAATCTTGTACCCCAAATAATAAAACTCTGGCAAAATATTTTTAAAAAATTAGACCCACCTTGTGATCGTTGATCTAGATCTCTCATTAAATTAAAATTTCTCTGCATTTCAGCAGGCAGTGACTCTAAACCTATAATGAAACCATTAGGCAAATTAAACATTATTCAAATGAAAGTCCTATTTACTCCCCCCCCCCCCCCCCATCCCTGATACTGATGTTATCATGTTGCTTTACTTTACTACAAACAAAACCCTCAACAATTGCCTGCTTAGTTGGAAAAAAATCCCCCCAATTTTGATTTCAAGTTTCCTTCTATTGTGTTAATTTATTAGATCTTTTTTTATTAGCCTATTTATTTGACATTTGTATTCAAACTCCACATTCCTCTCTCTATTTCTCTTCTCTCCCCTTCCCCCCCATCAGTTATGACAATAAATTTTTCATGAATAAACCTACTGGTAAAACTAGAATTAGGCCTACTTCATAGTTTATAATTATAATAATTTATACTAATGTGATTATTTATTAAGGCCTTATTTATTTTAGGCCTATAACACGTCGAATTAGGCAATGACTTAGTAGATTTTAGATCTAGATATTAGTAATATAATATTAGATAAGTTTGATTGGGCCAGATAAGTGAATGAGACGGGGGAATAATTAAAATTTGGATGCGCGCCAAATCCTTTTTCCAGTGACTACGGCGCTTACAATATTTGTAAAGGAATACATACAAAATAAGTTAATCATTGAATATTATACATTTCTGTAAAACGACATAGAAGAATGTAACATAAATTAAGAATAAACATTAAAATGTTTGAATCTAGACGAGGAAAATGCAATTAATTACTGTCAAGATAATGCTCGAGATACATAGCCTTCGCCATTTTTAGCTTTCTTCCGGAACGAAATAGGCTAGGCTAAATGAGAGAGGAAAAAAAAAAGGGATGATAATCACGTGACGTGTGTTTGTTTTTATACAAATACAATTTTGATTTCGCTAGATTACTATTTTATTATAAATTCATAAGCATTTTGTCAGCTTGCGAAAGTTCTGTGCATTACCGTTACCGAATCTAATTAAAAAGACCCATCACAAACGTTCATGTCAAAAATGCCGATGATGTATTGGCTCCAGAGAAAATGTCTTTCGAGACTTGTAGTATGATGAAATAGCTCCAGAAAATAGGTTTCTGAGAATAGTGCATCCATAGGCCCATAAATTATAAATCATAGATCTATATTTGGCTAATGCTTTCAAATGTTTTTAAAAAAGATCAAATTAACCCTAAGCCTATTCCTCACCGAGTTAATATTTTTTAGATTTCAAATGTAAGAACGAAATCGTGCATTTAAGTGCATAATTTTTCCCTTTACGGTTAAGGGGTATTGTGAATTCACTTTGGTTACATAAGAACATTACTTTTTTAGACTGTCAATGGGGTCGCTTTTGTTTTTCCCCAAGTAATATAAAACATGCGTGTATTTGGGGTAACGATGAGTTCATGAAGAGACTAAAGTATACGTCACAGACGAACTATTTTATTTTTCGCCAAACCTAGCGTTAATAAATTACCAGCACCTTGGTGGTCAACCATAACTGTTCTATTTTTTTTATTAATCAATAAAGCATTTTACGTTTAGTGTGGAATTTTAAACTAAAATTTCTAAAATTAAGGTAGCATTTCAATGTTGAAAGCACCGGACATAGATCTAAAACAGCCTGCTTTCTCAACACCTTTTGAAAGCATACAAAAAACTTAAATTACTTTTAGGGTCTAGATCTAGATCTAGATCAATATTCATATTTTTGGGAGATCTAGATTCTAGTAGATACTGAGTTAGTCTAAAAAAAGCTCCCGAAACCAACTGACCCTAAAATTACTAAAAGTAGTAAAAGAAGAAAAAAAAAGCCATCCTGGTAGCTCAATGCATTTATAGATTAAAAAAGTGCCAGGAAAGCAAGACTTCCGTCAACAATAATTTGTTACACATGCAAAATCCTTTTTAGTCTACTTTCAGTTTTAAATGTTTTGAATTTTGCTGCATTTACCTAGTCAAAAGCTACAATTTGTGACATGGATCCATTAAACAGCTCTTCTGGTATACATCACAATATAGATCTAGACTAGTTATTTATTAGCTAGATAGAATCTATAAATTAATCTAGAATAAAAAAAAACTGAACATTTTACTTGTGAAGCAGAACGGCCAACTAACAACTTACCTGCCGCAGGCTTAAAAAATAAATAAAATTGGATGATTTTAGAATTTAGATACCGATGTCCGATTAAATAGAATTGGTGTGTTGAGTTGTTAGTATAGTATAAAGTATAAGTTACTGTAGTACAGTAAAATGATAATCTCAACTAATTTCATTGTTAGTTTGTTAGAATTAGAAATTACTAAATTTTAATAATTAGGGCCTACTAATTAGTAATTAATTAGGGTTAGGCGTGTAGGAATGGGGTTAGCCCCGTTAGGGTTAGGCAGTGTTACTGTTAGGGACAGGGTTGGCATTAGCATCAGTTACTATTCCGGAATTGCACAGCAGTAAAAAACAGTAAAACCATTGCGCAGTCTGTCGAGCCGTTCCTGAAACCACCGCAAATACTGTAACTTATCAAACCATCATTTATTTGCCACCATATTATTTTTTATACATAATGTTTAAAAATGTGCATAGTTTGATTGATGATTTTAGTTGCAATTTAAATTAAAAAATAGGCCTACTGTTTTGCTAATTATTTTGTATTTCTAATTATTTTAAGTGTATGTGCAAATTGTTGCTGCTAGTACTGCTACTAAACATTGTTCTAGATTCCAATTCTTCTTAATACTTTTAGCTTTAGTAAATCTAATCGTCTTATTTTACCTGAAGAATCTAGACTAGATCTAGTTGTCTCAAATCTTCGTCAAGTTCTTTTCCTGTGTTTCTTAAGAAAACATTAATTACTTATGGCCTACTCATCTTTATTAATAATATTTAGATTTACTAATTGTTGCTAATTTTCTGTCAATTAAATTTTAAATTAAGTTAAAACATTAATTTAATGCACTTGACTTTATTTCTATTTCAACGGTCAAATAAACTATGGTTTACAGTAACGAATGTTACCAAAAATCAACAAACATTAACAGATAATATCGTGAGATTACCGAAGATTCTATTATCTGACTGGTATAAATATTCCCCCCCTCAGTGCAGAAATTATCCTCCACAAACTGGGTCAAAGAATGCAAGTATGCACCTGCTTCTTAACTGTTTAATTGTAGATGCTGCCACGTTTTTCTAGGTTTTCCTACAGTTATGATAACCAATTTGTAGGTAATTAGTGGCTGAAATTGAATTGGTTTTCATGGTGCCATTTAGAAAATAACTCTGTGCTTATCTATGCCATATTGGGTGTGATTTATTTTGTTATCTAATTTAACAAAAGATTGGTTTCACATCTTTTTAGAGGATGAAGCACCAGAAGAATTCAGCGCAACTCAAGTTAAGAAACAACGTGTTTCTCAGTTGAAAAGTATTAAAGATGCAGAAAGAAAAAGCAAAGATGAAGAAAAAGAACGACGAAGGAAGAGAAATGAGCTTTTCAAGACTCAAAAGGTTAAGACATTTACAATTGTCAACATTTCCCAATGCACTGTAGACACTTTTAATTCTAGGATAACAGCACCCACAGAAGAGTAGCATATACTTTGTTTTACTTAAATATTGAATGCAATGTCTATTGTTTATAATTAACTTTTTAACACTGATTGGTGAAAGAAATTTTTTTGGTCACCACAACTATCTGAGGTCCTGGTTACAGTTGTGATTTTGATTATAAAAACTATAGCCTGTATAATTCTAATCAAAATAATTTGTAATTAATAATATTAAATCGCTATAAGAGTTTTCTTGTGCTTAAGTCATTTGTCTGCTGTATTATTTATTAAGACAAAAGGGTTATGGCTGTGTTAAAACTAACGTTATATAAGTCTTAATTAATAAATACTTAGTAGAAATATAAACTAAAATTGCTTTTATAGTAGTCAATAAATATCTTTATTATGTTTATCTAATATGTGCCATCTATCTATAGCAAAAGAAACTGCTTGATTGGAGCTCAAGGAAATTACCTAAAGATGTTTTAGAAGCAGTTTCAGGATTTAAAAGAAAGGGACCAAAAACAGGTAACCAATTTACTGAATTCATGTAAGTCAATATTCATCTGCATAAAATTGGTTGGAATTAAAATTTGAGATGCTGTATTAGTTTTGTGGTAGAATTTGATATGGCTAATGAAGGGCTGTAACATGTTAATTAATCCATAAGTTCAGTTTTGTCCTTTGAACTATTTTTTGTTGTTGGCCTTTTATAAATTCATACCTTCGGTTTGTTATTCAATTGTTATTAAGTTAATACAAAATTTATACCTTTTTGTTGTAGATAAACCTCCCAGCGATCCAAGACTTAATGAAGACGATACAGAAGAAATAAATGAAACAGAGGATAGGCTTTCTGACAGTGGAATTGATGATGCTAGTCCAAAGTTGAATAGCAGCCCTGATTTTATTCCTATTGGGTTAGTGAAATTTATATTAGAATTACAGTTATTTATTATGTGACAATTAAAGCATGCCAATGTCTATCATGCCTTATTTACAAAAGCATAGTCTTGGGTATGTTACTGAAAAGAAGTTAAGTCTCTTTTTGAACCTGATGGCCCATTGGGCAAGTGAAGTAGTAAAGAATCCTCTTTAGACAATGATCCATTGGGCAGATGAAGTAGAGTTCATGTTTCTTGACCTGGGCATATAAAAAGATAGTCTGATCAACACTTTTCCCAGCCACCTTTACTTTCCGTAACATAAATTAGTTACCCAGAGCTGAGTGCATTCAGGGGCGTTCTACCTCTAGATCCCCAATGTTACAGTATCTATATATATATAATTCTCTTCTTGTATACCCTAGAAAACACCAAGCTGTAAGCACGCCTTGCAATCCCCTCTCTAGGCACCCCCATATGGTCTGGTGAGCTGTGGCTCATGCTAAAGGTTTATAATCATAGAGCCGGGTTTAGTGACAGCTATTAGGGGCAGATAATTTAGTTTGAAAAGATTTTAAACTTAGCTGAGGTAACTAAGAGGAGGCTGCTTTCACGGGGGGGGGGGGGGGTTGGGGGAAAGGAGAGAGGGGTGCTATCGTCCTTACCGAGCTACTGATAGTATTTAAAGCAAATATTTTCAGTGACAGCAGTGGTACTCTCGAATTCACAAATTATGAATTACTGAAAAGTAGAAAATAAAACAACTAAATAGCGGCATATGATATGCTGCGGGTCGGCTCGTTATTATATAATTTCTGTAACAACTATTCTTACAGCAATTCCGGAAAGTTAGCAGTTGTACCTGTCAGTCAGGTGGCAAAGATTAAGATGACATCACTGGAGAAGGCTTTGGAATTTAAACAGAAACAACTTTATAATCAGCCTACTATTCCTCGTGAAAGCAGTAAGTTTATTTTTTTATTCTCTTAATTCAAAAAATATTCACCTTTAAAATTCACCAAAGGATTTTAATTTTATTAGATTGAAAGAATAAATTGCTTTTTATAATTTTAGGTATCTCATTGATTTATTTTTTTTTACTTTTTAACATCAGGTAAAAAACGGAGGGCAAGGTTATCCAAACTTCCTGCTGACAAGATTAAGAAATAGTCCTGAAAAGTAATAAATGTGTTGGGCATGTTAGTTTGAAAATTGTTGGTTTGTTCTTAACTTGTGTAGCAGTTGCAGTGTATGTGAAGATAGCTTCAGTTGTTAATTATTTTGTGATTTTTATTCTTCCTAACTTTTATTTTATTTTTATGAGTATAACTATTCGTCATTTTAGTCCAGGCAACTAAAAAATTCAACTACATGATTGCACATATAAAAATATAAATATTCGTAAAAAAAGATGAATGAAGATGCTGTAATTCTCAGTAGAACACTTGTAACTTAAAACAAATATCTAATCATTATAAACCTTTGGCATACCGCACAACTTTATTTAAAATATTTACTGCAAATTTCATAAATTTCCAAAATTAAGTTTCACTGATGCAATCCTTTTTTCCCTTGATTTTTATTTGTGGAAATTCTCCATAATTCAAAGTTTTGTTTTCTCAGTGCTGTAGAGTGAGTGGGACTGATGTTTTATTTCACGTATAACAGACGTTACATTCCTTGTTTCAATAGTTTCATGACTAATTTCTGTAGTCTCACTATACAAGCATAGAAACTAAACAAACATAGAACTAGAACATGTAGGCTACCTCAACAAAACTATAATAACAATAACAAGTACAGTATGAATAAAGAAATTCACATAATTTTAATAAGTACATGCACAAAATTTTGATAAGTATAATTCAATAAATAATGCATTATTCTCAATAAAAAAACCACAATAAAATTCTTTAATCAAGCAGGCAACCACCATTGTATGGGTTCATCATCTGGGTAAATTTTTTTTACAATCTCACAAACCATTGGCTCGTTTAGCTTCTTAGGCACTTCATATTCCCTACCTGCTTGACGAAATGCCACTCTTATTTTATCCCTAACTGTTACTGGACTGTCCCAGTTAGTTTCAGCTGTGTCATCTGGTAGGTCTCGGATAGCAAATGCTATCTCAGGTTGAAAGAGAATGTAGCAATCTTTACACCCAAAAGCATACCTTGAGTTGCATTCTGGGTAGAATGGGGCGAATGTTGTGACAAAAAATGTGATTTTATTAAACTCGAAAACCCAGCTCATTTTGTTCCATTTTTTAGGGTCTTCATTGAGGTTGTCTAAGAGAATTTGTAAGATATCGCTGTCAAAGTTCTTGTGGTTTTTGAGAAGCTGCTGGCGCTGCCTGTTTAAGTCTGACTTCCTTAAAGTCCATAACACCCTGCGTACAGCATCACCAAAAATCTGAAAGAAAACATCACCAATTTTTGTTTACAAATACCTATTCATCATTCATTACAGTCTTATTTGTGTGAAATTGTTACATAGACTACTTTATCCACCTAATAGACCATCAAAGCTGAAAATGTAGTTTACAACTATAGTTAGTAGCCTACAGACTTAAAAATGAGTTATATTGTGATGAAATATTGCATAGATATACAATATTGACAGTAATGTAGATTTAATCATAATTTTGGTTAACCTGCAGATTTTATTTTTAACATTACAAAATTCAGAAACTTTAAACAGGAAATTTATATCTAACTGAAATTTTTTCCATTAAATACGAGAACAGTAAAATCATTGAAGCTAAGTGTAAAAAATGTATATTACTTCTATGTTGTTGGTTCACTAATATCAATAATCAAATTTATTTCAATAATATGGTAAATTCAGAACATAAATGCTTGAACTTGCTTCTCTGTGGTAAGTTCAGTAATAATACTAAAATTTCCTACATGTGGTATGCTTACGTCAATGTTAACCCCATATAGCTCTCCAGGCAGTTCAAAAAGAAATGCATCAAGATTTAAATCTTGAAATGCCATTGTAAACTTGTAAAATGTGGGAACAATCCTGCAATAGATAACGGTTTATGTAAACACATACATGTTATTGAATATTCTTTAAAAATAATGTCAACTTTATGAAGAACTCATGCAGAGATTATTTTTTGGCATGAGTTTTCCCAACTGTTGTTAAATACTTATTAGGGCTAAGTGAATTGGATTGTCAATCAACCAGAAAATACAATAAGTCTGGAACATTTAAAAAAATTTAACTTCCCAAAAGCAGATGATGGCTTGTAAATGTTTTCCATTGGTAAAAATGAGTTTTCAAACTCCGCCCAAGTGAAAATTTAAGTACTAACTCTCTTTGATTTAAGCACTAAATTTAATAAATTACTATGTCTTAACCTTCATGTGTTTTTAGCATTAAGCAACTTACCTTCTAACATTCTCCTCTGGTAAAAGACAACATGAAATATTTCAATAGACTTATTATGGCAAAGTTTATATAACATAATACTATTGTAAGAAAAAAAAGTGTTTGTTTCTTCCATTTAAGTAGCTTTCAAGTCTTACTTTGTTAATATTGACATAACATTTTCAGTTTTCATTACGGTTGCCAAGATAATTGTAGCAACAGTTCTAAAATGAAAATATGAGCATTGAATTTTTTCTCATCTATCAAGAAATGCTTTTTCTTTAACTTACCTAAAGTTAATTCCATATCATAATCAATTGATCCCCAAAGTTTTGATCTTCTTGCAAAAATACATTCTGACTGATTTTTTATTTTTGTGAAATTTTTTAATGATGTTGTATGTGCTGCATCGTATAATACAGATTCTGCGACTGAGACTGCAATTTCAGTTTCTCTCTCAGCTGATAAATAACCTGGCCCAACTTTACCTTTGTATGGGTTTATGTTCATATCAAAGACAGCATTGTGCTTTTTAACCACAAACCACTTAACTGCTTTCTTAATCTGCTTTCTAGTCCATGCTAAGGAAACTGAATGTATAATTTATAGTAAAAAAAATTAAGTGTTAAATAAATACAGCTAACAGATCTTTATATTATATAACATGAAGTTAATTCCTAACTAAAATAAAAAATAATATATTTAAAATGTAAACTAAGTATAAATTAACTTTTTAATTAAATGTTGCTATAATTGATGGGCTAATATCTAAATAAATAAAGAGAAATTTAAGACAAGAAAACTGAAAATGTCACATAAATAACTAAAATGTGCTGATATTGATTGCAAATTTATTAGTCCATCTAGCTAAAAAATATACAAGATCTAGATCTTAATTACATGCATAAGAACAAACAGGTATACTCACAAAATAAACAGGTAGAAATAATCAATGTGTTCCAGGATACTAAAATTACAGAGCTCTTTAGAGCCAAACTAACAAGGATTATTTGAATAGTTGTTAATGTGTGTGAACTATTTATTAAACAAACAAACTTTCTGAATATCTTGGGCAGTGTCATTTTTCAAAGTCAGCTACTTTTATGTGTTTGATAATACACTATATTTACAAAAGAAATTCACAACATGCTTTTTTAGCTGACAAAAACGTAAAGTACTTAGTGTTGGAGGAAAACAGATGCATACAAATTTTGAAGTGTTCAAACTACTGAAAAGAGATAATGTCATTTATTACGTGAAAGGGTAAACTCTGAGAGGAAATGTACATACTTTAATGACGCTAAAAATAAAACTGCAGTAAACGGTACTTGTTGGATTGGAGGAGTGCTGACATATATATATATATATATATATATATATATATATATATATATATATATATATATATGATATATATACTAGCATACTTCTCATACGTGTTGCTGTGATCTAGACCAAAAAACTAGAGCGACAAAACCTTTTATAAAGTTTCATCAACATATTTTTAATCTGGGCCACTTTCAAATTAACTAGTACCCCTGACCCCTTGTGCAAGATGCCCAATCATCAAATAATTATCAACTATAATCTTCTTCTTTGTTCTTAATTTTTAGTGTAGGAAGGGATCGAGCCTTATCTGCCAGAGGGTTTGAACTCGAGAATTTTTTCTAATTTATCAACCATGAGCTTGTTGTCGACTCGACCACGCCTCCATCACAATTAAGGATACATGTCAACTGGTTATGCGCCGTTGAGGCCATTGACTCCGATTTCAGCCTGCTTTTCTTTTTGGATTTGCTTCCATAGCCTTTGTCCAACCAAGAAAAACTACAAGGCAGCAGTTGTTTTGATTTTGGAGTTGTCTCTCCTAGAAGAGTGGCTCTCCCCAGCTAACAAGCCTCACCTGCCCGAGGGTTCGAACTCGAGACTTTTCGGTTTAGCAGCCATGAGCTTTTACCGAATTAACCACGCCGACGCCCTATCAACTATAATAATTATATTAACTAATAATTACTAGATGTAATTACTTTCAAAGTAATTAGTAGTGATCTAATAATATTAATTACTTTACTAATATAAATACTAATATTAATTATTAATATAATAATAAATAATTGAATATATGGACTCAATGTAGTAGGCCTATTAGTATTATGATAGTATAGTATAAGTATAGGCCCTATATAATATATTTATCCATATGGTTATTGTATAACTAACTTATATAATATATAATATAATTTATAATTATAATATTATGAATGTCAGAATTATATTTTGGCCGATGCTAGCCGGAAAAAGATATGTGCAATGGAGAGAAACTACGACTTGCCATCGCGGCAATGTTTTCGATGGTACTGCGCGTGCATGTGTTTACAAACGCAGAACACTAGCCCTAACCCCAACCCTATCCGCTAACCCTAACCCTGGCCATAGCTCACTGCGCATGTGCAGAACTATCTTTTGCTGACTAAGTGGAGATGTTGAGGAGAAAAATCTTTTTCCCGAGTAGTCAGTTCGTAATATTTTATAATGACAATAAATAATTATTAAATGACTCAAGTGTTTAGTGTATATATTATTATATACTAGGTCTATACTATATACATACTGTAACTGTAATAAACAACTGTATGAGAATGGCAACGGACAAATTTATTTTATATTAATTAATAATTATTAATTTAAAATTAAAAATAATTAATTATTATTATATTATTATTTAATATTATTTATAAATATTTTCCAATGTTAAACTTAAAATTAAAAAGAAAAAAAAAACACTCCACAAATCTAGAATCTTAGTCATAATTAATAAATTATTAGACCTAGAACCTAGACACTAGATTCTAGTACTATCTAGATCGAAATCTAGATATTACATTGTTTTCAGTTTTTACATAAGCTGTTGACGATTAAACATTACACTAAAATCGAAAGCGAAAGAAGTGTGCAAATAGCATTATTTACGTTTCAAGTGCGAAAAATGTTCCACTTAGCCACTTCCGGTTGATGCAAATATGGCTACTTGAACAGGTCATAATTCTAGGCGGGTTAATTTTATGGCGTCACGCTAGTTTAAGCATAAAGCTTATGTTACCTACATGCCCACATAGATCTAGTACCTCTAATTTACTTGCGTTTTTGTGAGTTGGATATTTAACAGGTAGATATCTATAATTAATTACTTTTGCGTGTAGTAATGAAGTCTAAAAACCACAAGTTGATGAAATTTGAAAACCACCTCAGTGGCATTGGGCCATTGGTAGTGTGCCTGTGACAATGCAGTGTTAATTTGACGCTAAGGCAGTCTCTACTTGCAAATTTTTCAAGCTCCAGTAATTTGTTTGTTATAATTGAAAATTAGAATCTAGATCTATATGCCTTAGTGAAAAAAATAAATGTACCCAAGTCGCTAACGTTTTAACTTAGTTTTAAGAAAAATTACAGCAATTCTCCCTAAATTTTAAACCACATTCTGAATTTTTTTTTTTTTTTAAACATCAGGTCTACCAATGAACAATAGAGATTAATTTTAAATCCATCAAATACATAAGGTTTGATGGTACTAGCTCATGACAAGGAGAGGTAACAATAAAGGGCCATCTTCGTAAAAAGACCTAGATCTAGATCTACGTCATTATGATCCGTAACAGCTATTCCAAAAACATAAAAATAACCATGTAGGTTGGCTATCAAATGGTTAATTTTTGTTCAAATATCAGATCTTTTCTAATTTCAGCTAATCTGGTCGATTTCATTTTCCATTACATGAACCATAACTTTCAAACAACTAACCTAAATCTAGTCTCTTTACGGTTAAAGACTTACATTTTTACTATGCCATTGTTTAAAAGAATTATATGCCATAATTTAAAATTGAATACAAAAGTACAACTAGTCTAGATTAGTACAGATTAAATTAGCTTAATGTTAAAATAGGCCCTAAAACTTAATTGCTACTTTTACACACACAAACAAAATTTTGAAAGTTGTTTCTAAGGTAAACATTAAGTTGCAATAAGACAAGACTTTCAATGTGAGACTGCTTTAACTGCAATAAAAAAATAGATAAAGCATTGAGTTCTAGTCTGAAGAAAATTTCCTAATTTTTATACCTGGTCTGGTCACATCCCTGCTATGTCTAAAAGAAGGGTCTACCTACACAGACGACAGGATAAATTGAAATATTGGTAAAAGTTCATGTACAAAAGTTAGCTCAAATAATAAAAATAATCTTGTTTTTATATAGGCCTATGAGTCTGCTGTGTACATTTAATTCAGGGGCATGGAGAGTTAAGATTCAGGCGCTATGGGTTCAAAGGGTTAACAAAATGGATCGACCTTTCACACAAGACAGTGACAATTATTGAAATGACATTTTAAAAGAAGAATCAAATAGATACAAATCTTAATAAAATATTTTGAATTCTGCCTGGACAAAGGGTAATGAATGGCTAGCCTGTGGGTCACCAACATTTTTAATGCTGTTTTTTTTAAGGCAGAAATGAGCTAGGACCATTAAATTTAGTGTCTGGTTGGTTAGAGATAGATCTCTACTTTTCATTGGTGTTGTTTAAATAAAGAAATAATTAAATTAATTTAAAAATTTAGTTAGAATCACTTTTAAAAAAATGACTTAGAGTTGTTTCCTGGGTTTTGGTTAAGAATGAGAGGTTATCACAGGGATAAGACTGACATACTTTGCAATGCAAATAAGGATTTTGAGGCTGAAACAGATAATTCATGTTAGGAACCATTTTTAGATTTTCTAATTAAAAATTGCTCTAATCACAATGTAACTTTTTCTCAGAATGAAAATTTTTTGTGAACCATCATCAGTGATTGAAAAAGTCGAGTCTCAATTTAGTCATGCTTGCTGTATTTTTGTAATGAAATTATTTTTTTGTGTAAGCAATTACTATGATTCACTCTGTTTTCATTAAAGTTATCTCTACACTTATTTAAACCCTCTGATCTTATTTAATTGACTCAAAAAATGGAGGACTACAAAAGGAAAAGTTCGTCATGTTGGTTCTGTTTTCAATTACAATAAAAACTACTCTTCACCTACATATGATAATATGCAGTTACCCATGATTGGTGTATTATTTAATTTTATAGGCTGTTCAACGACTTTGTCTTGGAAAAGCAAAGCCCAATTTTTCTAGTGTTATATTCATCATAAAATTATTTAGCCTTTATCTTGAATGTTTTTTCTTGTATAATCATTCCTATTTTTTTTCTTTCCTGCAGATTTTCTCCACTGTGAAATCTAAAAAGAACATACTGTACTTACCTACTTCTGCAAACATACTAAGCTGAAAATGGATGAAACTAACTGCCTAAGCTCATGGCATTCTTTTTATAGCACATTCCAAAACTCAAAAATTTACTTCTCTCAAGATGGAACTGGAAATGAAATAGCTTTAAGGAATGCAGGGACGTCATTACTATTTGATACTGGTGGAGACTTTGCTAAAGAGCTATTTAAGAACTGTGGGCTATTAGGAGGTGACATTGTTAAATTAAACTACATACTTTGGAAGCTGGAAGAGGCATCACTTCCAAAAGTTATTGTTATGTATGAGCGATACAAGTCAGCTGAGCGGTCATTTGACATAATGAATGCTATATCCGAAGTTAACTTGCAGCAAGTGGAGACTCTTCCGGGAGCTGCTTTAGACAATGAAGACGGAATTACTATTAAAATAGAGCATGATGATTATAATGGATTCCAACCCCAGAAAAATGTTTCTTTGAAAGATAAGGATTTAAAAAAGAGCAAGGATGCCTCATCAGCTATGGGAAATAAAAAAGCTGAAGTAACACCAGGAAAAGGTAACAATGCCACAGCTGACAATGCTCTATATACCCCTCCGAATCAGATAATGAAAAGCACACCAAGTTCTGCGAGAAAAAGCTCACGCAGTGTGAAGATAACTCCTAAGTTTCTTGACATCAGCAGCATATTGATGAAATCTATTAAACCGGAAAATGTTGATGAGACAGAGTTAGAGCCTGTTTCTTTGATTGATGTTAAATTTGAGGAAGATGCAGGAAATAACGAGGGCCATGCCATCTATCCCCAACCATCCCTGATGTGTGCCACTTGTGGGGATGCTACTTCAGAGACACCATACGACCTCAAATCTCATTGGTTGTCTCATGAAGGAAATGTAGAAGGAAAAGAAATGAGGCCATTCATGTGTGATGTTTGCTTTGAGAGTTTCAGCAACCTGCTAGGGTTGAGGTTGCATTATCGTAGGCACACAGGTGAAAAGCAGTTCAAATGTTCAGAGTGTGGGAAACGATTTCTCCACCCTCATGCCTTGAGCAAGCACAAAATCAAACGAGGCCATAACAAGGTTGACAAGTACCACTGCGACATGTGCGGGAGGGTGTTGACTGACAGGAGCAGCTTGGAGAAGCACCTGCGGCATCATGTGGCAGACAGAGAAAGCTGCTCATTGTGCCACAAGTCCTTTGCCAGTGTCCGCAACCTGAGGGCTCATCTGAAGCTACATTCTAACGATAGACCTTACAAATGTCCACACTGTCCCAAAGCGTTTGTAAGTGACCACAACCTTAAGAGTCATCAATCAATACACACAGGAGAAAGGAATCACTGTTGTCCATTTTGTGGCAAACGTTATAGACTTAGAACAGGGCTAGAATACCACATCAAGTCACATACTCCAGACGCTCAGTTCAAGTGTGAGAAGTGTCCAAAGACATTTATAGACAGCCGTCAGCTAGAGAAACATATGGATAGGCACAGAGGAATCAAATTTTTCTTCTGCGATGTTTGTGGAAAAGGATTTCTTAGAGAGCAAGGATTTATTAACCACAAGAAAATTCATGAGAAAACGAGGAATTATGAATGTGAGGTCTGCAGCAAGCAGTTCTTGACCAAGGCTGTTCTGATGGCTCATCAGACTATCCATACTGGTGAGAGGCCCCATGTCTGTCATGTGTGTGGGAAAGCCTTCAGGCTCCCGCAAGGGTTGCTCAATCACAAAAAGCGGCACAACCCTGGCAAGATGTACAAGTGTGAGCTGTGCCCCAAGATGTATTTAGAGAAGAGAGGGCTAGATTCCCACATGCTGTCTCACGAGGGCATTAAACCATTCAACTGCTCTCAGTGTGGAAAGTTTTTCCTTAGGGAGCAAAGCTTGAATAAGCATATGACCCTGCATGACCGACCTGAAGCACACAGGTGTGAGGTGTGTCACAAGTCATTTGTTGACAAATGGGGTCTTATAAAGCACAGCTCTGTGCACACTGGTGAAAAACCACATGTGTGCGGTGTATGTGGCAAAGGTTTTCGGTTAAAGAAAGGATTGGATGATCACAGTAAGCTCCATGATAAAAGTCTTCAGTACAAGTGCGCTATTTGTCCAAAGACTTTTGTGGAGAAAAGAGGCTTAGATTATCACATGCGCGCTCACAGAGGTGAAAAGAGTTATGTTTGTGAGCTGTGTGGTGGTCGGTTTGTCAACCCTAACTCATTAAAAGTTCATTATCGCCGCCATACTGGCGAGAAGCCATACAAATGCTCTTTCTGTCCTAAAGCTTTTAGTCAGCAAGGGACCCTCATTGCCCATGAGCGGTACCATAAGGGAGATAAGCCGTACGGCTGTGGCACTTGCGGTGAAGGATTCACCACCAAGAGTCACCTCACCATACATGTCCGCAAGCATACCAATGACCGTCCGTATAAGTGTGAGTACTGCGAGTATGCTGCCACTACCCGCAGTATGCTAAATGTCCACCTGCTTCGTCATTCAAGCAATAAACCATACAAATGCCCTGTATGTCCGTCAGCTTTCAAGAGACAGCACCACCTTGAGGGCCATCTTCGTAAGCATACAGATGGTGATAAGTTGTTCAGGTGCTCTTTCTGTGAGACAACATGCATAACGGAGGAGCGCTTGAAGAAACACATGAGGACTCATGAGATAGTTGTTGTGTCAACTGCAACTGAAGACGACATGTTCCATGTTAGCAACACAAATAGAAGTGAGGGCCCAGTTGAGGTTGCTTACGATATAATTCTGCTCTGAGTAACTAGTTAAAAAAGTTGTGTTTTAAAAAAGTTTCTTCTGATTTTACATTGACAGGAAATTAATCTACTTAGATTATTATACTTATGAAAATATGGGCAGGATGCAATCAAAGCTAATATTTGCTAGCTTGGCTCTAACCCACAGATAAAGCCTGATTTCTTCCTTATCATTTACACTACCGATTAGTGCAGTTTGGGAAATACTTGTATATGATTCTGTAGGCTATTAAGTTTTATTCAGACAGCAGTCTTGTAAGAAAGAAAATTTGTTTGGGTACTATTATTAGTATAGAATGGACTAACTGCAACCATCTGTTTAGCAGATATTTATACCTATCTAAGTTGTTTCTTGAATTTCTGATTGCATTTTTTAAAATATTTTGTTGCTGTAATTTAAATTTCTTATGTTTAATATGAACTCTGAATTGTAAACATTAGAATTACAATTGTTATTTTACATTATACTATGATTTTTCTGTAGTTATGCCTGTTAAATAATATTTCCTGCCTTATTCTCTACACGATTTGTAAATAGACAAGTAATTATATAGGCTTTTATTTTAGAAATGTAACAACAGTACAGTTTAATATTTTGCCATGATTTAAATCTGTAAATAGATTTAGGTGTTGCCATCAAACGATGTAGGCTATTTCTTCATATGTTGAGTTAATTAATACCTTATTGTAAATTCAGACAATGCACTAACAAAATTGTCAGCAGTTAGTTTGCTTTGCCAGACACCATGTAAATATTATTTTTTTCTTTTACCTTGTAGCCTGTGGTCATTGGTATACAGTTATTTTAATTTCTTTATGCTTATCAGTTTCATGCACCTTTATTTAAATATATGATGCAAGTATTATTGAAAAACTTTTTTTTGTTTCCCTGTTATGTACTTGTGTTCAGCTCTTGATGAAATATTCTGTTCATAGTTGTAAGAACATATTTTTCCAAACACTTCTTGCACGAGTACGGTAATACTTTTATTTTATCGCTTTTTTTTCAATTTCATTAACACATTTTTTAAAGTAAAAAATCTTAATACATACCATTTGAAAAAAGTTACTAAAGAAAAATGTTATCCATGTAACACACTTGGGTGAATGTATGTATATATCAATTCATTTATTCGTTCAATAAAGATTTGCTACAACCCATTTCCTTGCGTCATTAATACTATAATAGATTGTCAGATTCAATCAATAGCAAACAATACACATTTTTGTCATTGTTCTGTATGAGCTGGTTGCAGGTCTACACTAATACATTGAAGAATTGTAAAAAAAAAATTGTTGAATAAAAAAAAATAATGTATTTGAAGTTAAATAATGACAGTTTTGATGTAAAGTTCCCTTTCAAACCTGACGGCCTACAGGGCAAATGAAGTAGAGTTCACTTGTTTCTGTGACCTCTGCTTATTGGGGTCAACACTATATCTAGCCACCTTTACTTACCCTAACATGAGTTAGGTGCCCATCAGAGTTGGGTGAACTCAGGGATGTCTACTGACTTAAACCCAGATTTGAACTCGACACTTTAGGGTTAGCAGTCCAGCTCTGTACCACTAGGCCACCCCGTCCCATCAGGTTTAATGTAGTCAGTTTAAATTTTGAAAAAAGAAAATTGTTAAAATATTATTTGTAAGCAAAATTCCCTTAAAATTTGATACCCACAATGTCTTAATTTGCCTTAGTGTTCAGCACTTATCCTCCTGACTTAGTAAGCATCCTCTTTAGAGAATCGTCAAATAAGGAAAGAACAACCCAGGGCCTAGTGTGGGAACTTCCAGCACACAAAAAAGTATCTAGAAGTGTAGAAACTTTATTTATAAAGGAAATAAAACAAACACAGAAAATAAAATATATTCTTTTAATTTATTTTAGAATTCTAAATATGTCTAACAATACAGTGAACTGTTATAGTATAAGGTAATATATTTTCAATGATTGAAACATATGCTTCAAATCTGAATATCAAGGTAACCAATTAATAGTTAACTACATTCATACAATATGCAGTAGCTTTAAATAACTTGTAGAAGTGAGCCTTTTAATGGTGATCTTTTCATACCAGTAATATTATAAGAGTTTAAAACAGTAAGTTATTCAACAGCTATCTAATAGAGGCACTTGCAGTGTTAAAATAACGCTCAAAGATCAAGTTCTGTTTAACATATTATTATTATTCTTTATAAAACTTTGTTTATATTTTCCCATTATAAAAAAAAAATTGTTACAGTATTTCTGCAAATGCTGCACATTTCAATGTTAAACTGTTTTGGAATAGGGCTGGTAATTAGGTCACTAACCAGTTCTACGGCTCAATAAAACCTGCATGAGCCATAGAACTGGTTGGTGACCTACTAACCAGCTCTATTGAAAGCAGAGTTAATTTAAAAAAACCCATTTAATTATATTTTAATACAATGATTTAGATATGTTTATCTTAAAAATAAAGTAGTTTCTATCAATAAATAAATTCATAAATAATGATTAAATTAACAAAGTATAAATATTTTAAAAAGTAAATGTATCAAATGTTTTAAAAATAAAAGATAACAGTTTGAACAGTATTTTAATTTTTCTAACAGAAGGTGAATAATAAAAAAAAAACTGTAAAGCAAAAATAATAATACATAAGCTATACAATTGCACATTTCATCAGCAAGGATTTGGAGAAATAGTTAACACAGCAAAATAAAGTAAAATTAGAATACTAAAATGTACAATTTTTTAATTGTTCAGCTATGTAGCTATTCCTCTTAAATACAATAGCCAACATAATTTGTAATTGATTACCAGGTATTTGAAAAGAAGAGCTGCATGATTTGTTAGCCATGTCACATATTCATAAACAATTGTGACTTAATAATGTTGACTATCGGTTATAAAAGATTCAGTATATTTTTAATTAATAATAATTGTCAACCAATTATTCAATAAATTCAATTCATCATGGCAAGGTAGATTATATTAATAAAAGTCTTGGTCATGTACTAATCTATTTACCTGCACACTAATATAATAAAACTACTGAATTATTTGAAAATTAAGTATGTTTTCAACATTTAATGAATTAGTTTAAAACATGTACAAAAAAAATTGATATAAGTAGCTTACAATAAGAGAGATAACAAAAACAACTGAAGTAGAAAGTAATAATGAACTATATATAGTAACAACTGCTCAACAGAATTTAGATAGGAAAATAAAAGTTATTGCAGGAGAAATTGTTCTGTTACTACAATCATTTGTCGTACTTTTGGTAATCACACAGTATGGCGTCAGTTACTATTCTGCGAATGGCATAGCAGTAAAAAAAAAAGTAAAACAGTGTCATCTGTCATTCCGTTCCGGAATCCACTGGAACTACTATAAACCATATTTTATTTTAAAGTGCAGAATGTTTAAAAATTTGAATAGATCTAGATTGAATTTAATTACATGTTGAATACTGTGTTGCTAATCATTTTGTAATGCTAATTATTTTAAAATGTTTTTGCTAATTATTGCTTCTACTTTTACTAAACATTCTTCTAGTTTTTCTTTTACTTTTTAAATTTTGTAATTATTTTTGCTTCTTTATGTTGTTGAAACTTAAAATTAATTTAAAACGAGACTATATTTCAACAAACAAATAAACCATGGCTTACAGTAACTAATGTTTACAAAACTCAACAATCATTACCGGATAATTTCTGAAGCTATACTGGGAGATTACCATACTTTTTATAGACTATTATTAAAATAATTAGTGCAATACCAGCACATGTATAAAATAAGGTAAAGTTACAATACAACAAGAAGAGAACACAAGCACTTGACTCTTGTTTTTGTGAGTCACAGGAGAACAAAATAGTTGTGGAGATAAGGTAAATTAAAAATATAGGGGAAATAGATTAGAAAGAGTCAATATAGAATATAAACCATCAATGTATTGTACCACAAGTTTTTTAGGAAGAAATAGTTTCAGAAATGAAACTGAGTTAAGAATAAAATCTTGTGCGATAAATTGCACTTTTATAAGTAAAGTTTCCCTTTCAAACCTGACGGTCTATGGGGCACGTGAAGTAGAGTTCACTTGTTTCTGTGACCTCGGCATATGAAGAGATAGTGTGGTCAGCACTATGCCCAGCCGCCTTTACTCTCCCTAACGTGAGTTAGGTACCCATCAGAGTTGGGTGGACTCAGGGACGGTCTACTGGCTTGAACCCGGATTCGAACTCGAGACTTACGGGTTAGCAGCCCAGCTCTCTACCGCTAGACCACTCCGTCCCATTTTATAAGCGTTATACAATTGTTATCTGGGCTTAAAGAAAAAGATATATATGAAAAATGAATAACAATTATTGAAAGAGAAAACACCTCGTGCCCATCAGCTGTAGAGCAATTTAAATAAAAAATAAAACAACAAACTCAAGCATTCACATTTTTTTTGATTACACATTTTGAAAAACTTGCACAACATATTTCACCTAAGTATAAACAAAACTACCGACTGGGCTCATCTTACGAAAGTTTTTCAATAAAGCTAAATTTTTTAAATAACATAAAAAGCTTTTTAAGTTGACAGAAAAAATCCTGAAATAGTTATACAAGCAATACCAAATAACAGAAAGGGCAATAACCACCACAAACTGGATTTCAATAACATAAAAGATACAGAAAAATATTACTTCCTTTCTGATATTGCTAAAAAATGTCAACAAAAAAAAAATCTTCATTAAAATTCATCATGTACATTAGCAGCAAAATTGATGAGCTTACTAGCAATAAATAGATCGGAATGTTTGATGATTTCATCCATAGAGAGAAGGTTGTTTTTATCTTCATCCATCAGGGACATTAGAGAGTCAGCCTCCAGCTTAGCCTGGACTGGATTAGTGGGGTCAAGGTAATTCTGTAATATAAACATTAACTACATTACTCATGGTAAGTAACTTGGAGTAAGTAAGTAAGTAAGTTGTCCATAAATGACGACACACTATTTTAACAAAGTATTTTAACCATATCACAAAAACTCCGACCCGTCACACTTCAGCCTTACAACCCACTGTAAACTGCAATTTTTATTTTTTGAAACTGATTTCTTTCTAAAATAAAGATCAATATAGTGATTAATTTGTATCACAAAGAAATTTTACAAGATCCTTTTAATAGCAACAATTTACCCCCCCCCCCCCCCCTTATGAGTGTGATGTCATTTATTGAGCATTCAATAAAAAATGATAGGTCCAATAATCATTTGATGATTCTGTAGTGTTTGCACAATAGATTGTGTAAGCTAAAGCATATCCATGGACAATTATGAAACTTATCACTGTTTAATTAGTTATATAATTAAATTAGATCTATACACAAGGGAGACAATTTTCTACACCAAAAACATGTTATAACAAGGGTTACAAACCTTCAGTTCCAACAAATCCACCTTGCCATCATTGTTTTTATCCATTATCTCCCTGAATTCAACTCTTCTTTCTTCCTGCCATCTTCTATCCATCTCTTCAAACTCTTTTCCTTCCACCTCACCTGGGGGGAGTGCCGCAAATTCCTCCTCAGAAATTACACCATCTTTATTAGCATCTGAAATATTTACAGAAAAACTTAGTACCATCTGTATGAATAAAAACTTTTAATACAAAATATGGGTAATACAATTATTAAAACGAGCCGACCCGCGGCGTAGAATAGGCCGCTATTTAGTTGTTTTATTTTTTACTTTTCAATAATCCATAATTTGTGAATTTGACACCACCAATGCTGCGACTGGAAATATTTACTTTAAAACACTATCAGTAGCTCGTGAAGAATGATAACCCCCCACTCTCCCTTCCCCCCACGCCTACCCTGCCCAATGAAAGCAGCCTCCTCTTAGTTACCTCCCCAAAGTTTTAAATGGTTTAAAAACTAAATTATCTGCCTCTTATAGACATCACTCTACGATTGTAAACATTGGCGTGAACCACAGCTCACCAGACTGGTGGGGGTGGGGATGTAGCGATATGCCTGGAGAGGAAGGGAGGCGGAGGCTAGGTGCGCTTACGTGGTGGTGGTGGTGTCCCGCATGGTCCCCACATAGAGAATTATATATATAGATAAAACAATTGAGACACAAAAAGAAGGCAATTTTAGGTGAAGACCAATAAAGTTAAATTTTTCACTCCCTAACATCTCAACCAGTTTTAAAAAATCCTCTTTTTTAAAACCACTCTGTAATTCTGTGTCTGAAATTATTCCCCCCTTTTATACATTTCGTTATTTATTTATCACATAAACAGTATGGAAATTAAAAGCCAACTACTTAGACTAATACTATCCACTTAGAGAAGAAATAATGTCTAGCTTAAACTATCTCATGCAGAGGAGAAAGAAGCAAAAAAATGCACCTTACTATTTAAATGGGGGAAAAATATAAATGTTTTTAGCTTCCTGTGTACCAATTCCTGTAACTTACCCACTCCTCGCATGACGTTTTTAAGCTTCCAGTGTACCAATTCCTGTAACTTACCCACTCAGTGTACCAATTCCTGTAACTTACCCACTCAGTGTACCAATTCCTGTAACTTACCCACTCAGTGTACCAATTCCTGTAACTTACCCACTTAGTGTACCAACTCCTGTAACTTACCCACTCAGTGTACCAATTCCTGTAACTTACCCACTCAGTGTACCAATTCCTGTAACTTACCCACTCCGCGCATGACGTTATTCACCATGGTGTCCAAGGATTGCATGCTGTGTTCTGGGTGTCTAAACACCATGAACTCATACTTGCTGAGTTTGTTGTCTGTTATATTATGGTCTGCGTCAGTCCATTTAAACTTGTAGGAAATCAATGCATCCTTATCTGCAACAGCACATTTAGCGTAGAGGAATTTTAATTTTCAATGGTCAAAGCAAGATGATGTAAGATATTTTAAGTTTGATTTCAAGTGTTTCTCTTAATATTTTAAGATTTTTTTCTGAGATTATTAAAAATATTTGATGTTACTTAAAATTCAATTGTGTGTTATTTGTTGCTATTTTGTACATAATCAAGTGTTCAATGTTAAAAATAATTAAGTAATGAGCAATGTTTAGATAAAAGTGGCAATTTTTTTTATTGTCCCATGGAAATAAAACAGAACCTTGATTGTGAATTCATTAAATGTATGTGGATAAAATATCACATGCATTTTTATGTATTAATTTAAGTATTAAGCACAATCGCTTAACATAAATTCTTTAAAATCACTAAATACATTTTGAATAAAAGTCATGCAGAATAGATAAGTAATTGTCATAAAAAGTAACATCTAGCTAAAACATGCATTTCAACTTATCATTATTGTCAATAACAGCCCAATTATTTTACTTCTTGGGTTAAATTACCTAACTTTCTAAAGCTTTACGTTTAATAAAACATTTTTATTATATTCTCTGAGGTACCAACAACTAAGAAATTCATACTCTTTTTCCATATCTAGAAGTTAAATTGGAGTCGTTTCAATAAAGTATATTATCTATATCATTACATCAATTAAAAATACCCTAAAAACTCATTATTAAAAGTTTATTAAAGTTGAACACATTAGTAATTTTAAAATAGAAATTAATAAACATCAGCCAACTGAAGAGCTTAAGGCAAACCTACCATCTTGGTCCAGTTTAACAGAATCATCGTAATCAACAACATGGTTCAAAGCACTTTCAACATCAAAACCTCTTGAAAGGAGGAAATGGACATAATATTCTTTCCATTTGATGAACCCATCACCTAAAAAGTGGGTCGTCATAAATATTAATGTCACTTATGCAAAAGTAATTTCAAAAATACACCAAACTAATATATACAAGCACTTTAAGCTTGTCTTTTTTTTAAAGATTTATATTCCTTAAAAAGATTCTAACATAAGGAAACCTTCAATGCTCTTAAAAATTACAGCACAAAATGGTAAAGACAGATATTGATGATGAAAAATAAACTACCTACCATCAGGGTCAAGGTGTTCAAAAATCTGGTCATTTTCTTTTGTAGCAGCATCAAAATGCTCCGCCATTTTTTTGAGAATCCATGTTTCCATCTCGAGCTTAGACAAACTACCATCACCATCTGTGTCAGCCCTGTAGAAAAACATCTTCAACTTTAATGACCATTGCACGTCATTAGGATCAATACTATTTAATATATTTAATTATTTTTTTTAAATGTATAGCTTAAAATTTAAAAAATAAAGATAATAATTTCATCCTCTTTGGGTAGGACAAATGAAGGCAATACTTGACCAGAGGGCAGCTAAACTAAAACAAATACAAGAAACAAGCAAGCAAGTGCCTTTTATGTTAGAGATAAGATTCATATTATAGGTACAGCAAATATGACAGTTAAAAAAAAACTTAACCTTTGTGGGTGATAGTTAAAATTGGTGTCATTGAGAGACAGATAGTTAATGAAATAATATCCTTGTTTTATTTATAGTTTATAAAATAATGTTTAATAATAAAGGGAAAGTATGGTCAGATGGTAGAGCTCAAGACTGCTACCCAGAAAGTCTCTAGTTCAGATACCGGGCTCGAGTTAGTAAGAAGTCCTTGAGTACATCCAGGAAAATTAAAGCACCTGGGCAGAGTGCTGACCACTCTATCCCCATGTATGCCATGGTCATTGAAACAGATAAACTCTACTGTTCATCTACCCTATGTGTCTTGGGCACAAACAGGAAAAGATGATCATGATGATAAAATAATGTTTACAGCAGTGTTCAGTCATTAAAACAATCAAAACAAAATAGCAAAGAAGGAGGAAGTGGTGCTTGGTGGGCAGACTCTTTATAAGGCTCACTAAAATGTGACATGCCAGAAGCCTGATTGGAACCCCCAGGGACGGCAAAAGTGTGGGCGCCCAATACAGACCTCAAGGCAGAATCTTCTTAAAGAGCTGAAGACAGCAGGAACGTCTTGCTAGGCTGTTAAACCAACAGCCGGGAACCAGATGAAATGGAAGGTTCTGGTTGAGGCCCTATGCTTCACTACGAGTAAAGGCGATTAAGTAAGTAATTTCTCACAAGGAAACAATTTCTCACAAGGAAACAATTTCTCACAAGGAAACAATTTCTCACAAGGAAACAATTTCTCACAAGGAAACAATTTCTCACAAGGAAACAATTTCTCACAAGGAAACAATTTCTCACAAGGAAACAATTTCTCACAAGGAAACAATTTCTTGCAAGGAAACAATTTCTCACAAGGAAACAATTTCTCACAAGAAAACAATTTCTTGCAGCTTGTCCTGGGCATGATCCACAGCTTCCGTCCTGAACTCATCATGCAGTCCGCCCAGAAACATTTCTTTGTGGTAATCTTTGTTGACATGTCCATCTTGTTCCATCTTCACTACATCCAGGTGGTCCACTGGTATAAGTTTTTCCATAGGTAGCTTCTGTACATAGATTATATCAATTTAATTATCAACTAGTATAAAAATATCAGTAGTTTTTCCATAGGTAGCTTCTGTACATAGATTATATCAATTTAATTATCAACTAGTATAAAAATATCACTTAGGTTTTTCTATAGGAAGCTTCTGTACATAGATTATGTCAATTTAATTATCAACTAGTATAAAAATATCAGTTAAGGTATAAGTTTTTCTAGATCATATCAATTTAATAATCAACTAGTATAAAAATATCAGTAGTTTTTCTATAGGTAGCTTCTGTATATAGATTATATCAATTTAATAATCAACTAGTATAAAAATATCAGTAGTTTTTCTATATGAAGCTTCTGTAAATAGATTATATCAATTTAATAATCAACTAGTATAAAAATATCAGTAGTTTTTCTATAAGAAGCCTATGTACATAGATTATATCAATTTAATAATCAACTACTATAAAAATATCAGTTAAGTTGAATTATCAACTAGTATAAAAATATCAGTTACGTTTTTTATGGGAAGCTACAGTGTATAGATGACATTAAAAAACTTTTTCATTTGCATTTTTCCAAGTTGATTTCACTGCATTTAAAAGTGTCATTTTAAAAATTAACTGAGATCTAAGATCAAAATTTTTATATAAGACATATGGGCTATTCACAAAATCAACTAGTTAATATTAATAAAACTGATGCATATAGAAGTATGAACAGAATAATGACCTCAATTTTTCTGGCCATTTCCAGATTAAGGTCTATTGTTTCTGCTTCATTAACAACTGGATTAGGAACTTTCAGCACTGGTTTTTCTTGCTGCTGTTGATGAACTTCTTGATGAATCAGGCTTTTTTCAGCCATGCTTGCTGGGGAAGACAAAGAGATTCAACCTTTACAATGTTCAGGCTTGCTTCTAGAAAAGTTCCCTTTTGGACCATGGGGCAAGTGAAGTAGAGTTCACCTGTTTCTGTGAGCTCAGGATTTTGAGGGAATAGTGTGGTCACTACTATGCCCAGCCGCCTTAACTTTCCCTAGTGTGTCTCAGGTCCCCATCAGAGCTGGGTGGGCTCAGTTTTACGTATTTGAACCTATTCTTAAACACACGACTTTTTGGTTGGCAGCCGCACGTTCTACTTATCGACAATGCCATCCCAGGTTTGCTTCTACCCAGTACCAAATACTGACAATAGCATTGTGTTGTCTGGATGGAATTCAAAGCAAACAATGTGAGAAAGCACTTAAGATCTATTCTCTGTTAGAACCTTGTCATTGGCTTGAGCCTGTGCAAGTTTTAGAAGTTCCATAGGCAGGCTTCAGAGGTGTAGCGACCCTTCCCGGCACCCGGGGACAAACGTTACAATTTGCACCCCCCCCATCAAGATTTCAATTTGCACCCCCCCCCCCTTAAACTTTCAATTTGCACCCCCCTAAACCTTTAAATTTTTTTTTCCAACCCATTTTGGCGCCCCCTAAAGTTGGCGCCCGGGGACATATGTCCCCCCCCCCCCCCGCGCTACGCTACTGGCAGGCTTACCCAATACAAATCTTCAAAAGCAATGCAGGCTGCATATTGACCAAGCTACACCTTTCATCAAAATGCCTTAAAAATAATTGAACTCTATCTCATCTATCTGTCTCTAGGGCTAAATGTACTGACTAAAACATACATAGACAGTTGTGACCAAAAATGAATGAGGGCCTTCAAGCAGTGTACAAATGGAGTGCTAGTAATTAACTTTGGTTTATAATTTTATAATATGATCTGTCCATTCATAGATGTATAAAGTACCTGCATATATCTTTAAGAAATAAAAGGCTAAAAAATGTATTTAAGCAATCAAATTGAAAACGTACAAAAAATACAAATAATTTCAGCCCTTACTTTTGATCATTAATATTACAAAAATAATTATTTACCATTCCAAATTTATTTTCCTGAAATATTAATAATAACTCTAAACCTAAATGAATGTAAAGGCAATTTACTTTGGTCAGGTAATGAATCCATGGCCAACACTTTTTGGTCAACATCTTGATCATGGTGAATTTCCAGGTTGTCGATTCTGTGATCTTGATTTTTTACTTCTATATCTGTCCTTTCAAGCTTTGGAATGGGGCCACTTAGCGTTAAATGCAGGAGTAGTGTCAGAATTAAAACTATTAAATTCATCGTTGCCTGCAAGGTACAAAAAAAATGTGTATAGTTAATAAAATGTATTAAAATGGGATAAGGGGTCATCCATAAATGACGTCACGCTTTTTTTGACGATTTTTACCTCCCCCCCACCCCTCCGTCACACGTCGTCACAAAAAGTCAGACCCCCCCCCTAAAATGACGTCACACCTCAACCTACAACCCCCCCTCAAAATTGCAGTTGAATTTTTATTAAAACATCGATATTTTTCCAAAATCTTGTCTAAACTATTACAATTTATTAAAACAGTTATCTAAAACGCAAAATAACGTCCAAAATTCGTTTTCTAACATTGCTTTTTTATAATGCAAAAATGTGACGTCGCAACATCTGAACCCCCCCCCCTCCCCCTCATCACACATCGTCACAAAATTACGGACCCCCCCTCCCCCCTACAAGTGTGACGTCATTTATGGATGACCCCTAAGGCCAATATTTGACTTTAAGTATAGACTACAGACACTATAGTCTATAGGTGCTTAAATTTGATATGCATTTGTTTAGAGGGTTATTTAAAAAGAAAAAGCAGTTTTGTTATAAAGCTTCTGTAATCAATAGTTTTAAGTACTGTGGATTACTAGTATTCTAGATTTGGCCAACACTCGTATTGTGCAGAAGAGTTAACTAATAAATATGGCTCATTGCACAGCCATACCTACTTCACCCCTTCTAGCTCTCAATTATTATTATATCTATAATAGTAGGGTTCCCTTTTCAAACATGACGGTCTATAGAGCAAGTGAAGTAGAGTTCTTTTGTTTCTGTGACCTATGCATATGAAGAGATAGCGTGGTCAGCACTATGCCCAGCCCTCTTTACTTTCCTTAACTAAGTGTTAGGTACCCATCAGAGTTGGGTGGACTCAGGGACGGTCTACTGACTTGAACCCAATTCGAACACGAGACTTACGGGTTAACAGTCCAGCTCTCTACCGCTAGACCACTCCGTCCCACTATATCTATAATATTCTATACTAATCTGGGTAATCTCACAATATAACGTTGGTTATTATTCTGGAATAGTACAGTAGTTAAAAACAGTAAAACCATGGCGTAGTCTGCCGAGCCGTTACGGAAACAACCGGAAAAAATGTAAACCATATTTTTTTTTGGCGCCATATTATTTTTAATACATAGGGGCCTAATGTTTAAAAATGTGCATAGATTGATTTTAGTTGCATTTTAAATTTAAATACATTTTTGCTAATTATTTTGTATTTATATGTATATATAATTATTTAAGTGTATGTGCTAATTATTGCTGCTACAAAACTTATAACTAAACATTGGGTAATCTATTGTTTTAGGGGCATAAAACCGGCCAGGGCTAGTGATGTGCAAAAATGTTGCCTCATTTTTAAGGCTTTAATAAAAGTATATTGTGATATATTTGTGTCAAATTTATTAAGATAACTGAATAATTAATCAAAATCAATGGCTAAATATATCAATATAGGCCAGAAATTAAATTTAAAAAGCAGTGTTTGCTAGCAAGATTTGCTATATAATAAACGCGGCCATCTGAAAGTTAGAGTGGCTTCCCCTGAATCTTGCGCTATAAGTTTACAGTAAAATATAAATAAACAAGATGGCTGCTATAGTAGATGAGCATGGTTGCATCTGTTGGAAACATCGCTAGTCTTCATTTATTACTGAAAAGTTTTAATTCAATTGTTTAAAAACAGGTACATAAATGAAACAAGGGAACATTTTTCCCCAGTTTGTATTTTTCAAAACATAAATCCTCCTCAAAATGTTAAATAATTATTAAAATTTAAAGAGTCACCTGTTTTTCACATTACTAGTCGCGAGCGATTTTACGTACCTAAAACGATAGATTAACTGTACATTATCAGGCCTACTTTTATAAAAAAGTTTTTAAGATTTTCAGCCTAGGGAACTAGATATTACTAGAATACCCGTCATCCGTTGGATAACTGTGGGTTTCGGGGGTCATCCATCAAAAAACATCACGTCTGTCACTCAGAGGCATAGCGAGCCCCTTCCCGGCGCCCGGGGACAAACTTTTCGATTTTAACCCCCCCCCCCCCAAGATTTCGATTTTCAACCCCCCCCCTCAAACTTTTGATGTGCACCCCCACCCGCCACTCAAACTTTCGATTTGAACCCCCCTCAACCTTTCAATTTATTTTTCCAAACCATTTTGGCGCCCCAACATATGTCCCCCCCGCCCCCCGCCCGCCCCCCCCCCTCCTCGCTACGCTACTGCAGTGTCACTTATCGTCACAAAAACAGACCCCACATTCAAAAATATGTTTCTTATCTTTTAAAAACACCGAAAACACCGATTTCGGACTATCCCTTCATATACTGACGTCACATGTGACCTACTCAACTCTACTTCACCTGCCCAGTGTCCCGCCAAGTCTCAGACAACATGTTTTTATCGTTTAAAAAACGATTCCAGCCGAGCATGTCTCTGACCACACTATCCTTTCATATGCTTAGGACAAAGAAACAGATGAACTCTACTTCACCTGCCCTGTATCCTGCCAAGTTCAGATAGGCAACTTTATCATTCACATCTAAAAAAAAAAAAATTGAAAAAAATATCATTGACATATTGGTCTAGAACCTGTACCACCCGCATGAGAGCGGACTATGCTACAAACTTAGCTATTTACTCGTGACGTCACAAATAAATTTTTATACTATACTTTTGAGTCTCCGCGCATAGATCTAGATCTAGATATAAGTCTAGTAGTAGAATCTAGTAACTTTCAAATTAAATTTTATCTTAAATTAGCCAAACAAAGATTTATATAAAATAATTAAGGCCTGAAATAGATTCTAGATGTATTAAGGCCTGAAATAGATTCTAGATGTAGAATTTACATTAAGTCTAGATCTAGAATTTACATTGAGTCTAGTGACCTAGATCTAGGCTAGATCTAGATCTAGGCTAGATTCATAACTTTCCTTCGACAGCTGATCTTTAGATCTAGAGAAATTTATTGTAAAACTAAATGAAAAAAGACAGTTTAAAATTGATTTAAGTGTTGGAACGTAATAAATACAGCAAACGGACGTATTGTTAAAGTTATGACCGACAGAAAATTAGATTTAGAACGCGTTAAACTTTTGAATGGGAACACAATTTTCTTCGATAGACTGCGCCATTTTATTGTACTAAAGAGTAAACAAAAAACTGTGACGTCACGGTCCCGCCGAGTGTAGTGGTCGTTCTAAACTTTTAAAAAAAAATGGGTTACTCTGCGTATGAATAAATCAATAAATTAATTAACGTCTTTAAATAAATGTGTGATTAACAGTCTGTCTTAAAACAAAAATTTTTCTCTACCTACATACTATTTTACAGCTTTCCACGATGAGTGCAACCATGCGAGATAGTCAATCAGGCAAACAAACAAACAAACAAACAAAAAAATAAATATTCAAACATGTAAACAAACTTGACTTTTAGTAGTATATAGTATATAGAATATAGTATATAGTATAGCCTATAGTATATAGTGATTATTAATAATATTATTAGATCTAGATTCAAGATGTCTAGATTCGACATAATATAATTATAATAATTTTAATAATAATAATTAATAAATTTAATTTAATATTGTTTGTATAATAAACAAAAACTCTAAGTCTAAACTAGATCTAGATCTAGATCTAGATTTAGATCTAGAATCTAAGTTCTTGATTCAAGAGGTCAACAATTTTTTTTTATAAATTGTAAGTTAATAATTAAGGTAAAGAGAAGTAAAAAAAATGTCATAAGTTACGATTGAAAAGAAAAACCTGAAATGAAAATAGTGAACATTCAAACAATAAGAAAAAACTCAAACTATAGGCCTATAGATTTAGTAATAGTAAGAAAGATCTAATAAACATTAGTTTAAAAAAACGTGATTTAATACATGGATACAGGTTGCATCTCACAATGCTTATAGAATTAATAAAGTTGTTTGTTAGGAAATTCAGTTTTTAAAGAGCAGAATTTAAAAAAAAAATGCTTTGTAATACGGACTATACAACAAGACAATCATATTTAAGTACATTTTCATACGAATAGAAATGAAAGGGAAGCTACTCTAAATTACTTTTTCTTAAGATGGCTGCTGTTTTTAATAGCAAATTTTAATTTACTATCTCGAACAGGGTTGATAAAAATTAATTTCAGGATATTTAAATTGATTTAACCATTAATAGTGATTTATTATTTAATTATTTATAATATTTTATCAAAATATACGAAAATATACTCATATTTAACGACATATTCATTAATTCACTCTCTCCTACATTACTAGTTTTGGCCGAATTTACGACGCTAAACTAAGATTTTACCAAAGTTATGCAGGCCTATTTGTAAGCCTTATGTAATTTAAATAGTATTTAATAAAAAATAAGGCTAAAGTAGTAAACATCAGGATTCTTACTGAGCTTTTAACTGACTTTACTTGAAGTAGATTTATAGATCTATAGTTGATCTATTCTATACAATACAAATAGTAAACATAGTAGTCGTTTTATAGATCTATCTAGATCTACGTGTTTACACTTTTTTAGGAGAGCGTTATTTCCCTTGAGTATTTACCAGAATTTCGTATAATAAAGGCCAAACATAAATCAACTAGTAAATGAAGCCTGTCCCTTATTTAAAAAAAAAATATTTTTACATTTGAAAACATAGCATGTGATTTGTATTTTTGTATGTATACAGATTCTACTAGTTGTATGTAGATCTAGGTCTTATTCTTTACACGTAATCTAACCCTGCTTTTCTTAACTTCTTAATAAAATTGTGTTTTTAGTTAAAAAAAAATTGTCAAATTGGTCAATAGGCATGCGCTAAACTTACCTAGTAACGGGTGTTAGACTAGGGCCAATGCGCTGTAATTGTAATGTTAGAGTGTTCAGATACACCGGTGTCCTCGGATTATATAAACCCTCGGATTATATAAATACGAACGAAATATGCCTTCTTATATTCCTCTTGTAACCCGTGCTACTATCACTAGACACGTAATAAAAGTCGAAAATTGAATAGTGGTTTATTTAAAAGAAAAAACTTTTTGGTGCCATCCCATCCGATAAACACACACACAAAAGTCACACACATTATATATATATATATATATATATATATATATATATATATATATATATATATATATATATATATATATATATATATATATATATATATATATATATATATATATATATATATATAAGCAATGTATGTGTGTGTGTTTGTTTGTTTGTCCTTTATGCATTACCACACCTCTCATCACATCGCCGTGAAACTTTGGGAACAGAGTTTCTTCCAGGCATCTCTTCGGGGGGGGGGGGGAGCCCCCCCCCCCCTCCCCGAAAAATTTCTACCGCCCCCCTCCCCCCGAACGTAATGAAATTTATATAATTTATATAGAAAATATATACTTTTAACAGTGTCCGCCCCCCCCCCCGAAGAAAGTCTACCGCCCCCCCCCCCCCCCCGAAAATTTCAAGTGCCCCCCGGAGAAAAATGTCTGGAAGAAACACTGCACCCTACCAGGGCGCCAGATGACACGCCTGATTCAATTTAGTAAGCGTTTGTAACGCCCCATCCTATCCATTGTCTATCACGCTGTTTAGACCGAACGTATTAACCATAGCGCTCACGGGAAAGACCAGGGGGCCAAGCAAAATTAAATCCCCCCCCCCCCCGTATAGTTCCTCTTCAGACCTAGGGTTCATCCGAACTTGTGACCACTGGGCTAGCAACAAAACGCTCTGCCTTTCGAATCTAACAAAAGAAATTAATGATTATATAATCATAGCTCCTGACCTAAGAAATCATATTTTTCCCCTCTGTGTTATACATACATGTCGCATCTTAAACCGATTTTAACCCCCCACCCACAAAATCTACAAAAAGTCAGCCCCCCTCCACACACACATACAATCACGCACACACGTAAAATAACGTCAAGCTTCAATCGCCGCATCTAAATAAAACTTGTTTCTGAAAAAATTAATCCTTTAGTAAAGGGATATAACTAACCCAAAACTTAGACTGTTTTACCGAAGCAGCGCTAATCACTACATAATAGATCTGGTTTTCAAAAGTTGTACATCTTTGTTTTTAAATAGTAGTACATCCTGGTTTTAAAAAGTAGTAGGCCTACATCCTGATTTAAAAAAGCGTATTTTCACATTTTTTTCCCCACTAGCTTCCGAATTGTCACCAATCGTTATTCCTGTACAAACCCTTCCATTTTATATCGTTGCCTTTTCACCAACAGGTGAAATAAAATACAACTTAAGATACAAAATAAGATACAACTTAAGATACAAAATAAGATACAACTTCAGTCGAGGAAGATACATTTTTGTCGAATGTGTAATATAGTTTATTTGATTTTTTAATTAATTTTTCTTTATTGATTAATTAATGTGTTTTAAAACACGCCTTGATCGGACAAAAGAGCAAGTGAATGCTTATTCCAAAGTCCATAGTTTGAACCCCGGGCAAATAAGAAAGAAAATTTCAAAATCAAACAAATATTGCCTTGTTTTTTGCTCTAGTGTGGATAAAAGTCGTTTAACCAAATCCAGCATGCTAAATTGGAGTGAACGGGCATTATGCAATATTTAATCCAAGATTTTAAAATAACTAGGCTTAAATTCACAACTGTAGAGTATTTGCGCACAGCATGTTGACACATGACATTTAATTGTGTTTAAAGGAAATCACGTCCAACATCACAATTAAGATCGAAGAAGAAGAACGAAAAGATGTGTAGGCCTACATGGTTTATTTAAAAATGTTATTTTATAACGTATCTAAATAACCATTGGCGGATCTAAATAACCCAGAGTTTCTTCCAGGCATCTCTTGGGGGTTGGGGAAGGGTAGGGGTGGGGGTGGTGGTTGAAGGGGGAGCTCTCCCCCCCCCCCCCGAAATAGAATGTATATAGAAGATAACAGTGTCCGCCCCCGCCCCGCCCCCCGGAAATTTTAGTCAGACCCCAGAAATTTCAAGTGCCCCCTCCCCCCCCCCCCCCCTGGAGCTGTTAAACTCTTGTAAATAATATTGGGAATAAGGAACCATTATAATTACATTTTGTTCGGCTAATTTTATTGTCAAATAATCACAATATGATGGTAGTTTTTAACTAAAACATGTAATTGAGTATGTAATGGGTGATGAATTGGACGGCTAAAACATGACGATTTCTAAATTCAGAGAACCGTACACAGAAGTTGTTGACCTCTATTAAAGTTAAATTGATGACCTTTACTACCCTGAAGCTGATGACCTTCACATCTTTACCTTGAACTTTTTGAACTGTAATACCCTTAAGTTGATGACCTTTATTACCCGAACCCGATGACCTTTATTTCTTTTAAGTTTATAACTTTCACCTTCTTTATCTTGAAGTTTTTGAGCTGTATTACTCTTTAGTTGTTGAGCTTAAGACCTTCAAGTTATGAGCTTTATTATTCTGTAGTTGATGACCTATAATACTAGGAAATCTTTAACTTATACTGCAACAAACATAACAAATATCAATATTTTTGCAAGGCAGCTATCTGACCATGCTTTAAAATCAATATTCTTTCAAGGCAGTATTTGATTTTGATTCGTTATCAATATTTTTAAAATTTGTATTGACCTTCTTGTGGTCCGGTCGCCGTAAAGTCCTGGGATAAACAACAATTGTGTGAATATCGTGTCGTTCAGTCCGAGAGAAAACAGCTGCTATGTCAGCTGTCGTGTGGAGCAGAGGTTCTCATGCGCTGGGGCGAGGACATCTATACAACTTTCTAGTTCCACTTCCACGTCTACCTAGTAAATGAACGCGTTAGATTTATTTCAATTCTTTGTTGTTACAGATTTAGAATTTACATTTTGAATTTATAGTAAAGTATTAGTATTATAACTTTAAAAATAAGTTGCAAGTTTTAAAAAATAGTACCTAAAATAAAAAAAAAGGTGACGAAGGCGGTTTAATGTAACAATTCCATTTTGATCAGTGTTAACTTATTTTAATCTAATATTTAGTATATTAAATGTGATACTAATTCTAATTTGTATATAATTGTAAGTAAGTAAAGTTCTTTTTCAAACCTGACGGTCTACGGAGCTAGTGAAGTAGAGTTCATCTGTTTCTGTGTCCTAATCATATGAAAGAATAGTGTGGTCAGTACTATGCACAGCCGCCTTTACTTTCCCTAACGTGAGTTAGGTACCCATCCGAGCTGGGTGGACTCAGGGACGGTCTACTAACTTGAACCCAGATTCGAACTCGAGACTTACGGGTTAGTAGTCCAGCTCTCTACCGCTGGTGTACACATGTTTAATAGTTAGGTCCATGTCGTTTCTGTCATCTGGTGCTAGGGCCTTGTGGCTTGGCAGCTTGTGTACCCTGACGACCCCCAGAGCTATACCAGCGGGAGTGTAAACTCCTGGCAGGTTAAAAAAAGCTGGGAAGGTCTGCGTGGGTAGGGGTCAGACGAAAGCTAGCACCTTGGTCATCCAGGTTGGAGGTTAAGCATAAGGTCAGCCAACGTATATCGTAAAACAAATTAATCGCTACAGAAACGCAGACAAAGAGAAACAAAGACAGTTCGGACCAGAAGAAAAATGGATCACCCGATGGAGAATTCATGAAGCCGGGTGGTGAAAGCCAATATGTATTGGAAACTACCAGGTCGACCACCATTATTTCCACCAGGTACACGTGACCTAGAAGAAGACACCAAGAAGATTGGATACACCTGGGGATAGTTGGAGAGACTAGCCCAGGACAGAGACGCATGGAAAGCTCTTGTCAGCGGCCTATGTCCCAGGAGGAACGACAGGCAAACCAAACCTAACCTAACCATGTCGTTTATATTCAAGTTCTTCCATGGCGGATTAAACAAGAAATATAACCTACACATGTGTAATACAGTGAATTATTTGCGTTATCTCTGGAGTCCACACCAAAGTTTGAGAACGACAACATAGATAAGAACATTTTTAAAAAATGTAACAGTTTCAAATGTTTGATTAGTATTTTTTATGGTGAGTTAGCATATATGCCGTATAAAGTAAAATAATAGGCCTATATTTTAAATACTAAAACAAACAAATTTGCGATATTTGACAACACGTGAAAACTATTAGCATCATGACACAGCAAACCAGATGTTAATACATTTTTGATGTAAGACTCCTTTAAAATTAGGGTGTGACGTAGAAATAATTTGAAAGCCGAGTGTAACATAAAGAGACAAATGATTCGCCCAGAGAAGGGAAATCCTTTCCTTGGCGCAATAAATGGGCATTAAATGAAATATCTTGAGTTGTCCGTCGAAAATGATACCCTCTTTCGACTTTGCATATATAGTGCAAAGGTATTACATGCTTAATTTAATTGTGGAATATAAAATTAAAACGAACATCATGCAAAAGTAAGACATATTAAAATAAATATAAACATATCGTCTATTGGACTTAGATTAATGTTGTTTCTGTAGCTTTACATAACGTCTTTACATCTTTGAACAGCAGATCAATCAACTCATGTAATATACTAGAGTTCACATTTGTGTTGGAAAAAAGTGAAAGACACCAGCAACCTAATTTAAATAAAAGATATGCAATGGGAAGTTTGAAGTTTCTTAGTGAAGATTTTAGGAAAATATTCTTCTAAAGTTGTAAATAAATTATTTTGCACAATTCCTTTACTTTAGCTTGCTTAGTTTGAGATAAATATATTGTTGTATTTATAATTTTTTTGAAAATCACACCGGACCAGATCAAGTTTAAAAAAAAGAGAAAAAATTAAAAAATTAATATCTGTCTGCTGCTTATCTATGCCTTTAAGTTTTTCCAAGTCAAAGGCTACAGTAGATTTAATATATAACTAGATATAAAAAAAAGTTGATAAAAGGCAAGTTGAAATCTCCCGTAGTCTACTTTCTGTTTCTTAAGACAAACCAGGATGCATCTATTTATTTTAGGCGCCCTTTTGGCTTTGGCTAATGCAGGTATTGGTTTTTTAATATAATCCCATCAGCGTTGTGTATCAACGAATTTATCATGTTGCATGTAATGTACGATTTACACTAGTAGCCGCTGATCAGCTCGTCTTGAGTTCAGTTCCTGGCTAGACTCTGTAATGACTCCATGAGTCCAACCAGCTCTAATGAGTACCTGTCTCCAGTCAGTGGGAAGTAAAGACGGGTAGGAACCGTGTGCTGACCACGCTATTCCTCAATACGCCGAGGTAAAGAAAAAAAGTCTAATGGTTAGTAAGGAGCGACATGGTTTACATTTTACTTTTACTAGAAACTGCTACAGAAAAAAAAATCGACCACAAGCAAAAGTAAACTATAGCTGTTACTATCTTAAGCCGAGACATGCCCAAAATAGGCTGGTATTGCGTGTTTGTTCTGATCGTCACCATTCTTGACTTTTAGTGTTTTTGTATTGCCACTCAAAATAAGAATTCTTGAGTTTTAGTAACTGTACTCATATTACAATTCTTGTCTTTAGGTATTTAATATTTGTACTCAAGATAAAGATTTTGACTTTCAGTATTTGTATTCATAGTTACAATTTTCGGCAATTAGTATAATTTTGTCCTCATTGTTACAATTATTGACCTTTCTCCCCCAGCCCCCAGAACTTGTCATGGTGACGTCAACAACCTAAACCCTTCAGGAAAACAGAATGGAGGTGAGTTCGAGAACATTCGAATCGCATTTTTTTTTATATCAAACAGCCGCCCTGCGATCTTATTAAAAATAACATTCCTCTCAGGAAATTCGCTTCTCTGAATATCTGTTTTATTAAGGGGAGGAAAGTTAAGTCTTTCAACTATTACTGTTGTGTTTGTATCGAGCATCTATAGATAGCTAATTAGCGTTTTAAAAGTTGTTTTCTAGATTAACATATGAATAGACATACGATGATATTTTAGGTTTACGAATACACCCCCCCTCCCAACCCATTTATCAAAACCGCTTATTATGGGTAGGTTGTCATTAATCATTAACGATTGCTAACTGTTATAACATATTATGTATTTAAGAGAATTCTCTTTTGTATATATTCACTGTAGATGAGCATTAGGCCTAAACTCATATACATTTTCACTAGTCTAATTCACACAACTGACTGAACTCCGACCAATACAAGATGGTAACATTTAAATTTAATTCACACAACGCGAACGTTGACCAACACCTGATGATAACATTAAAATCTAATTCACACAACTGACCGAACATCGACCAATAGGAGCCTACAAGATGAAAACATTTCAATCTAATTCCCGCAACTGAACGAACGCCGACCAACCCAGAGGACAACATTCAAATATTTAAACGTCTGCTCCACCAGGTGTGGCGGCCTCTAACGCTGATGTCCAGTACGATGTTCCCGCCCTCAACCAACACAGGAACTGCTACCAGCAGACAGCAGACAACAACTGTAAGTCATTTTCAGCAGTCGAGTTGAATAGTTATTTTCTCATGACAGACACGTTAAAGTAATATTCCTTTAGTAATAATAAAAAGTCTCCCTGTTAAACTTAACACATAAAAAAACCATTCCCAGAATTAGGGGGTCATTTATAAAATGACGTCACACTTTTTGGACAATTTTACCTCTTCATCCCTTGGTCACCATCACACATCGTGACAAAAAAGCCAAACTCCCATAAATTGCATTTAAAAAAAAAAACATCGATTTCTCTCTAAAATATTTTCTGACATCAGTCACCGTGGAAAGTTTCAGTCAATTTATTTCTATCTGCATTTATTTACTAAACAATTTTATAAATAATGGCTAAAATACATTTTCTAGATCACCTTTTTTCAAATGCAAAGTTTAATGTCATACTATTTGAACAACTCGTCCCCTTCGTCACAGATCTTCATAAAATTACGACCCCTATTCCCCCCCCCCCCCCCCTGCAATGACGTGACTTATGGACGACTCCTTAAGAGAGTTTTTAGAGACAAATCTTGAACGATTTGTCCAGATTTGGCCAAAAGTCAGACCACAAATATATTCACTTTTCTGAAAAAAAAAAACTACCACGTAAAATATTGAAATAAGAAATCCGTCCAAAGTAAAACATAAAAGAGTTTAATTGAACAAAAAACTTGTCAGGTATCCAAGCCTCAGTGATCGCTGCCATCGCCAGTAGAGAGTCCAGAGGCGGAACCCTCCTTTATGCCACAGGTGGTTACGGTGACTTTGGCCACGCCTGGGGAATTATGCAGGTTTGTTTTCCCCCGAACAAAACGCAAAGCTTGTCGTATAGTCAGTGTTTCTTCCAGACTTTTTTTCCGGGGAGGGGGGCACATGAAATTTTCGGGGAGGGGGGGGGGGGGGGGTTGGCGGACACAGTTA